GCCCCGCCCGGGCATGGCCCTGTCCTCGGAGCCCGGTGAGTGCGCAGCGGACCTTGGGGCCGCGCCCTGGGCCCGGACGGGGTCCCGAGTGCTGCAGTCAAGGCCCGACTCACAGCCTCCCGGCTCAGAAAGGTGGACCAGTCCTCGGCCCTGCCCTCCCCTCCGCTCGGGGTGGGGGTGCTGCTGCCCCGGCTCCTCCCATGCCCTCAGGTGAGCCCTCCAGCATCCCAGTTTCCTGGCGGCCTAAATTAGATTCGTAAGATTTAGGGAAATCAAGGGAGCAGGGACCTGATACCTCTTAAGTGCTTGGATGAATTTGTAGATACTGTGGGATGCGGACAGCTCGGGGAACGGCACCTGGAGGCCAGGGATGGACAGGATGATGGGGCAGCACATAGTTTGAAGCCTCTTTGCTTTTTCTGTACAAAGCCCAGTGCGCTGGCAGTCTGCGTTCTGCCCTTGAACTTCCTGGTAGCCGTTTCGCCAGCAGAGCTGCAAGGGTCTGAGCTAGGGTGGCAGAGGCCTAGGTTGTGGCTTTTGAGAGGCCCTGCTCGCTAGAGTATCCTGTCCCAGAACTGTAGGTCCCTGGAAGTTTTTTGATGACAAGTAAGCAAAGGAGCTGGGTGAGAACTGGCACCTTAAGGAGGGATTTCAGCGTAGTCCTGAGCCCTTGTTGTCTGTCTTCATGCATGGAGTGACCAACAATTGGCCATCTTCAGAGAAAAGCTGACCTTAGCTGGAAACCTCAGAGGAGAAATTCCTCCTCTAGCTGTGAAATGTCAGTGTGCAGTTGTAGGGGAGCCACTGAGCCAGGCAGACAGGGCTTCTGTCAGCTCCTGCCTCTTGGAGTGTTGATAGCAGATCTGTGGTGGTTGGCTTGGTTGTGGCTACAATTCTGGCTGCACCTCTGAGGGCCCTGGCTTGTTCTGAAGGCAGTGGTTGCTGGGAGACTCTTGACCTCACAGCCCCATCCTTAGTTCTGCCTCAGTTCTTCTAAGATCCCAGATAGGTGATAAGTCCTCACACCTACGATAAGTTCTTTGAGATGTGAGGTCTGCTTTTCTAACTCTTATAGTTGTGGGGTTGCTCTTCACATGGTCTCAAAATCAAACCCAGATCATGATAATGTCATCAGCAGGTAAAAAGTAGTCGTAGGGTTAAGCAGAGAGGTAGTTTTTTCTCCTAAAGCAACTCATTGGCCTTCATGGCTTTTCTATCAGTCATATTACTTTCTTAGTTTTTCCCACATATCGGTTGTATATCTAGGGCAAGAAGCAAGGGCTTTTGTCTTTTGATGTACAATAGAAAGAACTAACTAGGGCATAGGAAAATGGAATCCTGGCTGTGCAGTCTCTAAGTAGTATTCATAGAGGACAAGGCTGTTATTCTTTCTGATTTGGTTTCAGATTTAACATGGGTTTTCTTCTTCCTGCACACACATAGGAACTTGAGAGAAAACTAGGTCCAGGATAGTGTTAGATAAATAATGCTGAATAAAAGGATTCTGTGTCTAGTAGAAACTTCATGTTCATTTTCTTTTCTTTTCTTTTTTTGGTTTTTTTGAGACAGGGTCTCACTATGTAGTTAAGACTGACCTGGAACTCACTATGTAGCCCAGACTGGTCTCAAACTCACAGCGATCCTCCTGCCTCAGCCTTCCGAGTGCTGGGATTACAGGCATGTGGCACCACACCTGGCTCATGCTCATTTTCTAAATAGGTCTCTCTTCTACTTGATATAATAATAATGACAAAGATAATGATATTGACAGTTAATTTGTGTGAAGCACATACTCTGGCTAGGCATGATGGTGCATGCCTGTAATTCTAGCACTCAGAAGGCTGAGGCAGGAGGATTGCAATAAGTCTGAGGCCAGCTGGGCTATGTGGTGAGTTCAAAGCCAACTTGAATCCCATAGCGAGACCTATCAAAAACAAACAAAACAACAACAACTACAACAAAACCCAAACTAAAACAAAATGAAATAAAACAAACAAAACTAATACCTTAAAGCACACACTCTGATCCTGGTATTAGTCAATGCATTTTGTCATGGTAACCCATGAGGTTGATGGTTTTAATACTTTTTTTTAGTAGGGAATAAAACTGAGCCACAAAGATTTAGTAACCTGCCCAAGGTCATGCAACTAAGTGGTAGAACAGGATTCAAACCCCTGTAAACTGGTTAGAGTCTATGCTCTTTGCAATACGCTATACTGATTCTTTTTTTTTTTTTTTTTGGTATGGGGGATTGAACTTCTGACCTTGTGCTTGCGAGGCAGGTAATAGCACCACTGAGCTAAATCCCTGGTCCTGATTCTTGAGATTGCCGTAGGTGGATACTTACATCATTTATTCCGTGGCTGTTTTATGCAATAATTTATGCAGCAAATATGTGTTTAGTACCTGCCATATACGAGGTATGGGGATATCATCATGAATGAGACAGGCAAGTCTATTATGAAGCTAACATTTAGCAGGCGAAGTCCCTTTGCCCAGCTCTGTGAGTGAATCATACACATTTCAGAAATGAGAAGAAAAACAGACCCCTATAAGCCCATACCTTGCATCTGGAGAGGAGAGTGGTATCTTTTCCAAATAGACTAATTTGATTCTAGCCTTTTCTGTCCTTTAGGAGCACTTAAGTGATAGCAATAAATTCAATCTGTTCTCCTGGGCAGGAGATACAAGCCCTGGGTCTGGTTATCATGATAGTATAGATGTTCCTTCAATAGAAAAGTAAGGCTTCGAGCTTGAGGTCAGTACTGTCTGATTTAGGGGGGCATTTAGGCCACAAGGAACAGCAACATGTTAGGAATCAAAGTGGAATCATGAGGTCCCGAGCAGAGTTTGCCCTGCTGAATCAGAGTTGTACTTTGCTCCCATAATGCTTCTGTTCTGGAGGGTGTTCTATCCCTTTGGCTCCAGCAGGACCCCTGGCCCTTGTCCCAATCTGTGTTATCTTAGCAGGGATGCTACTCATTGCTCTGTGGACCTGGCAGAATGGGCTCTACACCCATTAGCTGGGCCCCAGAAGTCTGTTTTCTCTGAGTTGGAAAGTGTTTCCCAGCGCCTATCCCATAGGATAGTAATAGGTGTTTTTCCTGTGGCAGCAGTGGTGGGATGGTCAAATACATGTGTGGGGTTAAACAAAGTGAAGGAGCTTTCTTTACTGCAGGTTTTCTTGGGTATTGAATTTGCTTATAAAAATTGTGTAAATCTCATAAAATATTATAGAATGTAGTCTTTTTCAGGCCTTCTGGGGCTCAGGATCTCATTAATGGTGCAGAACAAAATTACCTGAGCACATTGGCCTCAGATTGGCCTGTTAACCCCCCACCCCCCATACCTTTCTCTTCCCCAAACACCAGCCGAACTCACTTGCCCCTCCTCTCTTCGGGCAGAACAATACTAAGGACTTGGATTTTTTTTCTTGTGTGTAAGCCTGTTTAATTATTTTATGAATACATATTACCCACCTTCTAGGTTATTTGTAGCGTGCTGATCACACTGTTTATGAAACAGCTGGGAGGACAGGTGGGTTGTAATCTGTGGGTAGCCAAAGCTCAGAAGCAGCTGGGTATTATGTGTCAGCCTTGTAATCCTGCTCTGTGCTCACTGGAGTACGATGTGGGCTCAGGAGGGCACAGCCTCCCCATTGGACATGAGGAGGTGACTCAGGTCCAAGTCAGGGCTACAGCTAGCCCTCCTGGTAAGCAGCTGACCCAGCCTTTCTGGGCTCTTCTCCCCGGGATTTCAACAGCATCACAGAAATAGCTATTCTGTTCATGGTTATTTCCCAGACCCAAACGATTTGTTGAAGTCACTGGAAGGCTGCGTGTCCCTTCTGAGCCTGTCCCTTCTTCTAAAGGGCACAGGAAAAGGAACAGAGCTTTGTGCCTGTTCATCCATCCAGCTTGGCTTCCGTGGGTCACTTGAGGCGGGCTCCACCTTTCCCAGGAGAGCGGCTGAGGCTGTGCAGAGCTGGAGGCCCACGTGGGCGTGAGCAGCAGTAAGAAGGGGAGGGCGCGGGGTGGGTGCTGGTGGGCCGGCTGTTCCCTGCTTCTTTCTTCTGTGTGTGAGTCTAGGGGTGCTTGTCAGGTTACCCAGTCATCTGTGATGTGCTGCTTCTTACCGGGAAGAAAGGAAGGGTGGGAGTGGGCTGCCAGTTCCTCATCCTGGCTGCCCCTTTTGCTTGCTGCCTCTGTACCGAGGCTGTCCCCACTCCCTGAGGCTCTGTCCTTCCCTGGACAAAGAGGAGGCAGTTCACCGGCCTTCATTCTTTTAGAGGAGGAGGGGAGGAGCAGCTGGTATCGACAGCTGGGCGCCGAGTTGCTGCCCAGTACTGGGGTGCTCAGGAGAGTTTGAGGTTTGGGGGCTCTTCTGAGAGGAGTCAGAGTAGGTGGTGCCATAGACAGATCCCCTTGGCGAGATGACCCTGGTGGCCAGGTGACACCTTAAATGGAGAATTAGCAAAGGTGATGTTATTGCTCATTCTGCTCTGCTTTCAGGAGGAGCCTGGCATTGGAGAGAGCCAATGGCTTATCTCTTATGCTTCCCCAGGACAGCTGAAGGCAGCAACCACTTTAGTTTCTTCTGATGAGGGATGGGAACAGGGCCAGGACACTGCCTTCAGGATATCACAGACATTTGCCTTGGATAACCAACTTTACCTGGGGCTCCTAGGATCTTGGAAAATTTCCACTTGCATTTTGTATTCAGGGGAGAATTTCCAGCCCAGGGCTGCCTGCCTTGCAATTACAAGGTCCTGAGTTTGATTCCCAGTACCCTCCCCCAAATTCCAGCCCAGACTTTTCCTGCTCACAGATATGCAAAGCAGAGACCTCCCACCCGTGCTGTGGCAGGCGGGCCCCATCTAGCTGCTCTTACACTGACTCAGCACAGTGTCCCGGGCAGCACACAGCACCTGGTTGAATGCTCGCCTGTGTGATATCCTCAGGAGCAGCCATGGAGACTTCAGGCTCAGGTCTGTGTTGTGGGTTCTGTCAATCTGCATCTGCAAGAGAAGGCAACAGTTTGATTTGTGTAAGGAGGGAATTTTGGTGGTGCCGCACTTCTTTTCTAGAAGTGTTGTGGTGCCACACAGTTATTGGATGTTGGAATCAGGAACAGTTTACAGCTTTCTAACTGACATTTCTTCACACTCCATGCGGGGCGTTGCATGTCACAGCATGATAAGCTGTATTGCTAGCTGACTGATGCCAGTAGATTCAGTTAAGCCTCCCAAGCCTGCTGGCTTCAGCTGACAAATGGTTGCAAGGCAGATGTAATCAGGCAGCTGGAGCTGAACTCTTCCTGGGCATCTGCCAAGTAGGCTATCCTTGGCAGGCCTGGCTGGCAGGTGTCTGGAGGTCTGAGAGGGGAAACAAGCTCTGGAGAGCGGGGCTGGGCAGGTGGGAACTGTCTGCCTAGGGTGTCCAGAAGACAGCAGACATGTGGCTGGCTGCAAGGCACACCTGGGTTGCCCTCAGTCCTTACCTCAGTCTTCACCAGTTATTTACCACACTGTAAAGAAGTGTTCTGCAGGGAGATGCCACTCCATGGTCCCGGAGTCCTTAACGTGCCTTTTGAACCTGGATTGAGGGGCTGTGGAGTATAGCATCTCCCCGACAGTTGACCACAGGCCTTGTTTTACCAGCAACAGCTTTTGACGTCTTATGGGCCCAGTATGAGAAAAATTGATTTAAGCTGCACAAGCTGAAGAAAAAGGGGGAAGATCTTTTATAGAAAGATATATCCTGGAAAAGTATGTTTGGTTGACTTGAGCAAGCTAAGAACTCCTTTGAGATAAAAATGGCAGGCTGTGTGTAAGAAGACAGGAAGGACCCTGTCAAATGTCCACTCCTGACGGGCTAGGCGGGATGTGTCTGGGCTAGGCTTTGTGTTCATTGGAGGAGACAGGAAGGGAAGGTGGGAGTGGGCTGCTTCTGCACAGGGTAGGAGCTTAGACAGAGATGGGTCTCACTGGCTCACCTCCCTTTGAGCTGGCCTCCTTCTGTGTGGGTCAGGTAGGAGAGGGCCCCAACCACCAACATCTGTTAGAACAGTGGTGGCAAACCAGTGACACACCTGTCACAGCCGCCTGCTACTAGTCATTGAAAGCTCTAAAAGGTTCACCGTCACTATGCTAAAATGAGTTTATTGTTTTTAAAAATTTTAATCTTTAATCTATTCTTTTCTTCCTCTGTATTTGTTTAAAAGGTGACATTATAACAGCGTTAATTATCAAAATAAGACATCCTTACATATGGACATCCTGCCTTGTGGTCACTTTGAGTGTGTGTCTCTCTTGTCCATATGGATAATAAGCATTTTTACACACTGCAGTCAAAGTGTGGGTGCAGTTTTTTTGTGTTAATTTTTTTCATTTACTGTTTCACATGGTTTTAAAAATGTGGTTGTACCATCCTTATAAGCATAAAACTAGTTGTTTAACAATTTTTTTCCAAGTGCGTACACTCTAATTTGGATATTTTAAATTTATGTAGAGAGTGCAGTTAAGTATTTTTGTGTTTTTTTCTTCCTTTGGACACTCTCAAAGGAATTCCTAGAAGGGGGATTACTTGGCCAAACAGTGTGGCGTTTGCTGCCCTTTGCTTGGCCCTGTTTGATGTAAACCTCTGAGATGTAAGGTGAAGCTTTGGGGTGACTCCTTTGGCCCATGGACTTGGGATTAGGAGTCGGGATCCAGTTTTGCTATGGTCTGACTGAGCCTGGTTTTTTGTGCTGTACCAACTTTTCTCTCCCCTGTCACATTCTTCTTGGAGCCTCTCCGCCCATGGTCCCTGGCTTCCCCTTCTCCATCAGAACATGAAATCTCCTTTGTTGGAGATCTGTTCCTTGTCCTCTTCCAGGCCCAGCCTTTGCTGTGTTGAGTCTGCCCCCCTGACCAGCCCAGATCAGCCCAGCTACTTGCCAAGGTGGCTCCACCTCACCACCTTGGTCCTACTCAGCTCCTGCAGTGTAAGACACCCAGGAGAAGCAGGGCCTGGGTGAGGAAGGAAGAGGAAATTGGTTTAGAGTTTAGCCTTTCATGGACAGACTCTGACTGCCCATTACCAGCCTGCTTTCCTCCTTCCTGTGTGTCATGAATTAGCCTTGAGTGCTGCAGCGAGAAAAAGAGCAGCAAGCTCTGCCCCAGGCACCGGAAACCTCCCCCAGCATTTAGGATTTCGACACTTATAACTGAAAGAACCTTAGAGAATATGTAGTCTCATCCCTTAACCTCACAGATGATAACATTGTAAGGCCAGAAAATGACTGTCCGCAGCTAGCCCCGGCAGGGCCCCTGTAATTGCTTCTTTTGGCTCCAGGCAGGGCAGGTCTCAGCTGTCTGTTAACAAAACCACTTGTCTCTTAAATGAGCCTTCAAGAAATTGTGGTAATAGGTATGCAGGAAGCTTCCTTTCTATTAAAATCCTAGGGAAGGCAGTGCCAGTGTCCACCCATTGTGTAAGTGTTCTGTTATGCCAGGGACCATGAGACCCTGCCCTATACATAAGGGAACCCAGAACAGCAGCAAAGTGTAGTGGTTAAGGGCACAGATGCAGGAACTGGGTATCTGGGTTCAGATCCCTGAGTAGAGTCTCAGTGGTGAAAGGGATAGTGGGAAGAAAGAACACTCCAGACTTATGCCAACTTATTTCAGGTGTGACCCTGGGCAAATTTGCTTTCTATACCTTCATTTTCTCAACTGTAAAATAGGAATTATAAGATGGCTTTGGCTAATATGTATGAAGCGCTTGACCATATATATAGTGCTATATAAGTATTTGAAAAGAAAGAAGGGAAGGAAGGAAGGAAGGAATTAAGAAAGGAAGAAACCAGGTGATTAGGAAAACCTACAGCATGCAGAGATGTGGACAGGGAAGAGTTTGACAATGTGAATTTTCATCTGGGTAAAGAGTACCCCGTTCAAATCCTTTGTTTTATTTGCTGTGACTTATTAAAAGGTTCTGGAGGGCTTGGGCACTGTGGAACTGTGGTAGCAGATACCTTCAGCAAAATGCCTTGTTCCATGAAATGCAGAAAGCAGCTTTGGATTTCTCGGGGGGTCTTATAGTCTTCTGGGGCCTTATGCTCTCTGTTCATCCCAGAAGCTTTGGTCTTCCCCACCAGAAGAGTGGGAGCAAGGTTGGCTAGTGTTGTCATCCTAACAGCCTCCTCATAGCCTGAAAGAGGGAGGGTTCTCAACTCTCTCCTGCCCCTTTCAGTCTTGGAAGTGAAGTCAGGAGCACAAGGCTGTCGATCCCCCAGGTTGGGGAATGGAATTCCCAAGTCGAACATTTCATTCTTTGACTCCTGAACAGTTGCTTTCTCATGAAATGTGAGTGGCCCTCTGTGCTTCACACCCAATTACTTACAGAGCTAATTTTGAAACTTGGCCCTCTGGGGCTTGGCTAGGAATTCCTGAGTGGACAGCTGAGCCAAGGCCCAGGTGGGGCTGGGCCACACTTCGGTGCCATCCGCTGTCCACAGCGGGGACCTGGGGCATCCAGGAAGTAAAGTACCAAGGCTCATGCTTGCCCTTTGTTTGCTAGCTGAGATGCCGCGCCAGTTTCCCAAGTTGAACATCTCGGAGGTGGACGAGCAAGTCCGGCTCCTAGCTGAGAAGGTGTTTGCTAAAGTGCTGCGAGAAGAGGACAGCAAAGATGCCCTGTCCCTCTTCACCGTCCCCGAGGACTGTCCCATCGGGCAGAAGGAGGCCAAGGAGAGGGAGCTGCAGAAGGAGCTGGCGGAGCAGAAGTCTGTGGAGACTGCGAAAAGGTTTGTCCTGGGCTTCTGTGTGGACAGAGTTGTGCATCCTGAGGTGGGGCCTGTGTGTCCGGGAGCTGGCCTGTCCCTGGGGCTGCCATGGTTTCTTAACCAAGACCACTTGCTTATGTCTTGGTGCCTGAGTTTAGTAAAAAAATCAAAAGCTACTCTCTCCCTGTTGCTTTTTTTTTTTTTTTTTTGGGTACCAGTGATCGAACTCAGGACTTTGTACTTTCCAGGCAGGTGGCCGCATCACTGAGCTAAATCCCCGGCCCCCTCCTGTTGCTATTTTCCCCTGCTGCTATTTTAATAACAAATTGTGTACAGAAATGCATGTCATTTCCGAGTGACATTTCCCTTTTCTTTTTGGAAATTTGAGGATTTAAAAATTCAAATTTATTTATTTTCATCAATTGATACTTTTTTGCATTATTAACTTTTTTTATTACTTGGCACTTGTTTGCATTATTAGTTAACTTTTTTTTTTGAAATTTGAGGATTTTTTTTTTTGGAAACACCAATTTTATTTTATCACTTGACCCTCATTTGCATTGTTAGTTAACGTTTCTTTTTGGAAATTTGTGGAAACACCAGTTTTATTTCTTTTCATCACTTGACACTTGTTATTAGTTATTAGTTAACTATTTGCCAGGTGCGGTGCTGGGACTGCAGAAGTAACAATGTACAGTGCAGTACAGTCCTGGCCCTGTGGAACTTACAGTGGGTCTAACAATAATCGAGACATTGGACAAACTAATAAAAGAATTACAAATTATGATAAGTTCTGTATCAATCAGAAACCTGAGTATTGGCAATAGGATTTGAATGCAGGGAATTGGTTATGCAGCAGGTTGTAGAATGCTGAGGGGCCAAACACAGTGGGGGCCTGGCTGGGCAGATAAAGAGGTGGTGTGATTGGAGCTGGGGGGTGGGGCGGGGGGTGGGTTGAGAAGCCCTGGGAAAGTTGGAACTTTGGTAGCCTTTCTGATGGAAACTGGATCTGAGGAAGAGAAGCAGCCCCTGAGGGCCCAAGGCGGAGATGGAGGGAGGCAGAGGTGCTATACGGTACCTTCCGGGTTCCCACATGGAATGCCATTGGCCAGAAGCCAGCGGACACCCTGGGGAAACAGGAGAGGATGAGGAACAGATCTGAGTACAAACACAGGATCAGCACAGGGTGCTTGTTATAAAGGAGATGAATAAGGAGGAGGAAAATGAGAGAAAGAGAGAGAGAGAGACAGAGAGAGAGAGGAGAGAGAGAGGGAGAGAGAGGGAATCTATTTACCTTATTTAGATTAGATAGTTTGGGTTGTGGGCTCCGAGGAAGTAACAGTTTAGCTGATCCTTCAAGGTTGTAAAGAAGCCGGCTGTGTGTACAGCCAGTGACATCCTCATAGGTGGGTAAGTCAGTCCGGGCAGAGACTCCCAACACTCTTCAAGGAGGCCCGTTGGGTAGAGGTCCGCTAGAGGGACCCGGGCTGTGCCCTGCAGCTGGAGGGGAGGCAGGGCCCCTTCAGACTGACCTTGTGCTCCCTGATAAGAAGTTTGGGGCTCAGTCTCTGTCTGGTGGGAAGTTCTTATCCTTTCACAACTTATCTCATCTGGGAGGACAGAATTAAAGAGGTAAAAAGCTTTTGGGAAACATCTAGTGTGGCCAAATGGGGTTACCACCTGCCCAGCACACTGAAGACCTCGACAGCTGGTGTCCTGCGACTTTCACCCTCTCTCGGACCAGTCAGGGATCAGCCCCTGCTGAGATCCTCCTCAATGATGAAGGCAGTTCTTTCCTTTCTTGGTAGTGTGCACTTTCAGAACTTCCTTCATTGGCTTTTGGACAACAAGCAGATTGCTGGCGTGAAGATGGGAATAGAGCCTTGCCATCTGTAAAGCCTGTGCTTGCTTTCTTCAGAGGGGAGGTCACAGGGCCGCTGGCCAACTCCGAGTGCCAGCTTTGTGCTGGGTGAGGTGGGTGGCTCTGCCCCAGTGCTGTGCTCATCCTTGGAAAGAAAAGAAGAGCATGGTTGTTGAGACCCTCGGCCAAACTTGTTGGCCAGTGGAAAAGAAGGACTGGCTTCAGGAGCTGCACGCTCAGTGGGGCTTTCTGTATGCAATGAATTGAACATTTTGGACCCTTCATATTGAGATGAGGAGGGCTGGCATTTTTTATTAGCAGGACCAATAAGTGTCTGAGGCCAGTTTCCAATATAGGGTGACACTGTGCTTGACATCTGCAGTAATAAACCGTTCTTTTTATCAGCACCCAGGCTAAGGGCAAAAGGGAACTTTCTTACTCTCAGTCCTAATGGTGCTCTGTGGTTTCCAGAAATTCCTCTGCGAACTCCTCCCCAGAAATTTGCCCTGTCCATTCCTGTTAGGCTGTGATGTCTTGGTTTCATCTGTCTACCCCAGCTGACGATAGCTCCCTGAGGCTTGTATCCGGCTTCTGCTGCCTCCACAGCATCCAGCGTAGGCCTTAGCCATGTTGATGGGCAGTGGATGACTGGTAGAGGAAAGACATCCTTGCTTTGTCAGGGGCCACTCTGTTCTGCCACTCATGAGCATGCCGTGGGACCTTGGGCGAATTAGGACACCTCAGTGGGCCCTTGTCTCCTCATCTGTAGAGTGGGGATGATAAAGTTGCTACCTTTGTGAGACACTGTGAGGAAAGAAGGAGTTAACGTGTAAAAGGCTTTGGACTTGCCTGAGTCACAGGAAGCCTTGTAAGTGTTGACTGTCCAGCCTCCTGCTGCTGAGGTTGGCAGTAATAGCAGGTGCTGCCATGGAATTCTCCGTGCGGGCTACGTACTAAGCTGTGACATTTGCATTCTTCTTGCATCCCCACCTTAAGCTTATAAGTAGACAGTCTTAGACTCTTGAATTTGCAGATGAGGAAAATAAAGTTTGATTAACTCGCATGAAGACAGGCAGTGAGTGACAGAACAGGGACTGGAACCCATGTCTTTTGAATACAGACCCTACATCTTAACCAGGAGACAGTCACATTTTCAGGTGGGCTGGAGTCTGTGGTTTCTTGGTGTGTAGACATTAGAGTGACACTAGTGCTCTCCCCTAGAGTATAACTGCTGTGACCTCTGAGCCAGCCACAGTGCCACCTGTACCTACTGTCTTCTTTTCTGAAAGACAGCCTATTTCCTTGACTATCTGCTAGCTATCCCAGCGTCCCCTGGGACGATGCACACGCACATTTGTCTTTGAATGTCACTGCTCACTGGAGATGCCTTTATGCAAATCTTCAGATGCAAACATTTTCATGGAGGACACCTTCTCCCCAGCTCCCTCTCCATCTTTGACCCCTTCCTGGTAGCCTGATCTAAATAGCAATGTGGAGACTTCCTGCAAGGAGCCTCCAGGCCTAGAACCAGCTGCAGATCTCCAGATGTGTAGTATGTAGGTTTTTTGTGTTTCAAACAGTGGCATAATTTGGGGCTTCTAGTTTGGAGAAAGTCCCTTCCATGCCTCAGCTCCTCTGGATATCCATGGTGCCGGGAGAGGCTTTTTTTTTTTTTTTTAACAGTAATTTACTTTTTCTCTGTCCTGTATAAAAAAATAAAATCCAAACAAAACACTTGCATTGATTTTAAGACTAATATAAAAGTGAGAGTCATGGTAGTAAAAGAGTTTCTTACAAAAAGAAGTTGAGTTGTTGGGAGGAAAGATGCGCAGCTGGCACAATTTTGTGGTCCAGGATTTCCAACTCTGGGAATCAAACTGGCATCACGTGGAGCCCTTGAGGGACTGGAGACTGACTTGGGGTGCTCTGAGAAGCACTCATTTTGCAGACCAGGCCTAGATAGGGAGCCGGCAAGGCTGTTTGTTGCAGGACTCTCTGCCGTAGGAAGATGACCCTGGCCAGGTGTCCGCTGGGACTCAGGATGGGTCAGGCAGAGGGAGGGTGGGCTGTCTGTGGAAGTAAGATAGGAGCAAGGTGAGAACCAGAAAACCCTGACGATACCTAGAACTCCTTGTTCACTTGAGTCTCACCTGCACGACCTAGCCAGAGCTCACCCACCCTGCCAATGCACAGGTGGGAACATCGCCTGCTCAGAATGGGACATGAAAAACATCTACATGAACATTAGGGCTCTTCCAGCTCTCCTGTTTCTTCTTGCACCTCTTCATTTTCTTCCGTATCTTTATTGCAATATAGTTCCTACACTGTGCAATCCACCCATTTAAGGTGTGAAACGCCATTGATTTTAGCATATTTACAGAGTTGTGCAACAATGATCACAATCAGTTGTGGAACGTTTTCGTAGCTCCTCAAAGAAGCCCTGTGTCCTAAATTTAACCATCACACCCTGCCCCATCTTCCCATCCTATCTTCTATTTACCCTTGCTTTACACTGAGTTCTGGTAAACAAGGCTGTCTTAGTTTTTATCTTGTGACAGATTAAAAGAGAAAATTAGAAATAGGGAGGAGGATTGCTATTGGCAAGATCCCAGAAGTGAAGTATGGTGATTAGAAGTGTGGACTTTGGAGTCAGACCAACTGGGTTCAGGTGACAGCCTGTCACTGCCTGCTGAGTGGCCTTAGTGCAGGCCCTTAACTGCCAGAGCCGGTTTTCTGGTCTGCAAAATGAAGATAACCAAAGGACTTCCCTGTGAGAACTGAATGAGCAAAGACACACAGAACGCTTAGCGCAATGCTTGGAGCACATTTCTGTTCCTGTTTTTGTTATTGTTATTATCCGACAGTCAACAGTGAGGGAGGAAACAGGATAATTATGAAAAGTAGACACAGAATCTACAGCACAGCAGTCTAGGGACAAAATGCCTTTCAGATTGTGACTGGATAATCCCGGGGTGACCTTGAGTCACACAGAGAACTTTAAATTATATTCAGCGTGCTCTGGTTGAGAGTGCAGGGCTTACATACTTTATTAAAGAATGCCACACTAAATAGTGTTTTAAAAACTAACAGAGGGAGGGAATAGACTTCAGGACAGCTCCTTCCCCTAGAATATTTTGAGTAAAATACACAAATAGATATTTGTTATTCATTGAACATAGCACAGCCAAAGTATTAAGTCATTTTGTTTTATGAAACTTCCTAAATCAGGGTGAGTAACTGATTTTTTTTTTTTTTAATTCATGGCCATTGACAAAGGAGCTTTATTTGAAAAAACCAGTTTCTCTACTTTAAGACTAGAGATTGTAAAAAGCAGTAAGGATTGTATTTCACTGTGACCTCCGAGGTCTTCGGAGAGGAAGGGCAGCTGGGAAAGGCTGGGGAAATGGGATGGAAGCCTGGGGTGGGGGCGCTGGTGGGGAGACGAATGTAAGCACCCGTGCTCATGGGCAGAGCAGAAAGGGAGGGCAGAACAAGAGCGGGCAGGCGATGTGAGAGCTAAGGGAGGTGTGATGGGCTTTACACCTGAAGGGCTTCAGGTACCTCTTTCTAGAGCATTTGTTTTGTTTGACACCTCTGGGGACAGAGAGCCCTCTGTATTCCTGCACAGGGTAGCAGCATTCAATCTTGTGTTCAATAAACACGGAGTTCCTGCTCTGGGCCAGGCCTGAGCTAAACACACAAACAGTTGAATAAAACCTGATCTGTTGCCACTGTTAGAAAGCACTTCCTCATGATGGCCCAGAACTGCCAGTCCGCAGTCCCTCCTGTCACACCTCGTGCTAGGCTGGGGCACTGGGTTAGCCAGCTCAGGCTGCCACAGCTGGCCCGCCTCCTCCTTCCTCCAACCACACGCTGGAGGAAGGCAGCCACCTGGCAGAAGTGCCCTGCTGCCAAGGACCTGGCAGGGTGTGGGGCTGTGAGGACACCAGCTCCAGGCCAGGTCTGAGGGCCTGGGCTTGGAACAGTTTTGTCATCCCCTGGACGGCCACTTCCCTGGGCCACAGGGACTTTATGGCTGATATGGCCCTCAAAACCAGGAGGTGATCTGGTCACAAAGGCAGTTATTACAGCGTCTTCTCTCCCAGCACCTGTCCAGTGCTCCTACGTGCCCTATGGCCGTTGTCCCCATTCTTACCCTGTCCACTCCCCACCCTCCTCAGAGCCTGGGAACCAGGCACTGCCTTCCCATAAAGTCTGACTCATACACCGAGCCAAAGTGCAGAACCCTTGGTGGGGGCCACCTTTGCTGTTCTTTCTAGAGAAGCACTATCTTCCTTCTAAAGCCCACTGCCATGCGTCTGTCCAGGAAATGGCCAGGCAGGAAGAAGCACCAGGCTTTCAGAGGTGCCCCGTTAGTCAGTCCACAAACCGCCATGAGTCAGACCCTGGGGGAAAACAGGTAGATCAAATGTTAACCCCTGTTCCAGGGCAGGCAGTGTGGGCAGGGATGGACCCAGACTACTCCACATATTGTTCACATATGGTATGATTGGTGTAATGAGGGTATTTGGGGATCATAGAGGTGACCTCTAGTCCAGAGACCCCAGCACATAGACTCCCAGGTTCTACAATTCAGGTAACTTCCCTTGTGTCCTTTCATTGTGACTCACGTGGGACTTTAAATAGCCTTGAGATGGAAGAGGGACACACATGTGGGTATACACACATACGCATTATGCGCGCACACACACACACACTCATTCACAGACGCACACTCAGCCCCATTGCCCGCCTCAGTTGTGTATTTGTGGTCTAGCCTGGATGCTAGATATAGGCTTGGCAAGCAGGATTTTTTAAATGCCCGCAACTGAAAAATGTCCCTCTTGAATCTCCAGACCCCGTGAATGTGAGCTGTCGCTCCTGTCACTATGTTACGGAATGTGGCCAGTTGACCTGAAGATGGGGAGGTGAAGGGGGGTGTGGAGTGGCTGGGCTTGTCACATGAGCCCTTCAAAACTGGGAGCTTTCTCAGAATGAGAGTAGAGGAGGACGTCAGGGACATTCAAAGCTGGCTTTGAAGATGAGAGCAATGTGCAAGGATCAGAGTGCCACCTATAGGAGCTGAGATGACACTTGGGCCAGCGCCAGCAAAGGACTAGCGAACTGTCTTACAGCTGCATAGAACTGTGTTCTGCCAAGCACCTGCATGAGCTTGACAGTGAATTATTTCTCAGAATTCCCAGTCAAGAGCACAGTGTGGTCGACATGGTGATTTTGGCCTTTTGATACCCAGAGCACAAAGCCAGCTAATCCAAGCCAGTTTTCTCACTTACAAAACTGTGACCTCATAAATGGGTGTTGTTTTCACTCATGAAGTTTGTGGCAATTCAATATACAGCAATAGAATAAAGCTTTTCCAACTTTGGGGGCTACGGATTCAGTGGTTAGCTCCTGGTGATTCTGAGCCTCTTGTCACAGTGAGCTGTTGGTTGTTAAAACCTTGTTCTGTGTCTGCAAATCGGAGTGCACAGCCAGCTGTTGTTTGTGTGAGTCAGTCTGGAACTCACCTGAAGACCAAGGCTGGAACCACGATGGATGTGTGTGAGAAGGAGAAGTCTCTGGGCACCAGCTGCCAGGTACTGGCTTCCTTGATGGGGTAGAAGGATATACAGGACAAGCCTGGTAAGCCTTTGGCTTATGTACCTTCCAGCTTTTTGGTTGTGGTTATTGTTTATAACCTGTCTTGCCTGCCTCTCACCTTAGAAGTCACCTGTCCCTTCTCCTTGGTAGGAACAGACCTCAGGCAGCATGGTCAGAGGCATGGAGTGATGAGATTAGCCTACAGATGAAAACAATGACTGACAGGCCCGAGAGTGACACAGAAGCCACTTGGGGGACTCTAGTGAGCCTCTCAGCATGAGAAGTCCGAAGCAATGGCTCCTCCTTAGGCATGAATGTCCAAAAGATGCCCAAGGGAGACACTCCTGGCTCAGGTGAATCTGCCTCTGAGGAATGATGGGCTGGCAGGAGCCGGCATCTTTCTTGGGGCAGGATGCTGGCTCAGCTCCATGGGACGGAGGGCAGATCGGGGATGGCCAGGGCTGTGGCTCCTGGAGTCCAGATATTTCCTGAAGGAGCCTACAGTGCCTGTTATGCCGGCCAGGGAGGCAAAGACAGACCCTGGGGAAGGGCCGGTCCACCTCTCAGGTATAAGCAGCCCTTTCTCACAGGCTGGTAGCACACAGCGTGGGCAGGGAAGAACTAGAAGACCATGGCATGCAGTGGGTAAGAAAATAGGGTAGGTGAATTGTGGTTGCTGAAAATGATACAGTGAGGAGACCTAGGGAAGAACTAGTAGGCAGAGAGTAGCTCCTGTGTGGGCCATTCGGGGTCTGACTGACTTCAGGTTTTGGTCACCATTTTCACTGATTCCTTTGCTAGTGGCTATGGGCCCTGGTTGTTGTGCAGTAAATACCCAGGAAGCTGCTGTACCCTGTGGCCCGAGGTGGGGCAGGTGGTCAGCTGGTTTCTGGGTGGGGGCGGGGGGCTGGCTTCCACTGCAGGCCAAAAGAGACATGGAGGGTGGTGCCCATGGCCTTACCTCAAGGCTGACTAATTTCCTTCCTGGGAATTCTAGGGCTTGGAGCGACATCAAGTGCTGTTTTATTAATGAGGAATGTGAGGTCATTACAGATCACCCTTGCAAATCAGCACGCGCTTTAAACCAACCTTGTGCCCAAGAGTGACTGACTCCTCTTTGGTGCCAGGGTGATGGGTCTTCAGGTCCAGATCTGGAGTCAATGCTGATCAACCCCTGTCCTGTAACAGAGATATAGTTCTGCCCTCACTACGGCAGCTGGACAGCAGATGTCAGGCTTGAGGAAGGAGTAGCAGGGGTGATGGCCGGGGAGAGCAGCACCCTGCTGTGTGACTTGTGCGAGCCCCTTTCCATCTCGTTCCCCGACTCCTAGTTGTAAACAAGAAGATTGGACTAATTGGTCATCCTTGTCTCCTCTGCCACCAATCCCCAACATTTTGAACCCTGTGGAAAACGTCATGATTGTCTCTGTGATCTTGTTGCTGAGACTGTTCATACGCCGGGTAATGTGAAGGTAGCACACTGGCCATAACTAAGGAAAGCCTAGTTGATCTGATGTCATCCTCAGGTCCCTGTGCTATGGTGGCAGAGTCCTTATGGTGTGGTCTGTGTCTGTCTCTAGTTCTTGCCTACTCGGAAACAGCCTATAGTAGCTTGTGGTGATCACAGGTGTGGGTGTCTGAGGGTTGTGCTTTGTCACATGGAGAGATGTGTATAAGAAGAAGGCATAGCAAATTAGAATCTAATGGTAGGACCAGCAGCAGTGATTAATCACAGCACAAGTTCTCCTGCCATGTATTTAATAAAGGTTGTTCCATCACTCATCCCAGGCAGCTGCTGATGTCTCCCACTTTTCCTTGTCCTTGGCTCTTAGAAAGAAAAGTTTCAAGATGATCCGATCCCAGTCCTTGTCCCTGCAAATGCCGGCACAGCAAGACTGGAAGGGTACCCCAGCGGCCAGCCCGGCCATGTCTCCCGTGACCCCTGTGCTCTACGGAGCCACCTCCCCGCCCACACCTGCACCCTATGCCATGCCCGAGTACCAGAGGGTCACCATCAGCGGAGATTACTGTGCTGGGGTAAGGCATCTGTGGGAATGCGGAATGGGCCTTGCATGCCGAGGCCAGGGGCCCCTGGTCATGCCCACCCTGAAGCTGGCTCAGCCTGTGGGTGTCTGGGAAGTGCTGGAAAGGAGACAAAGGACACTGAAGAGAAGGAGGGCACTAGCAGGGCTGTGGTGGTGGAGTGTCTAGGGGCTCTTCCCTGTCAGAGGCCCATAGCTGCAGCTGTCACACTGTTCTCCTGGCCCAGAATACTCTCCTCTGTCCCTGCAAGCCCACTGAGAAGGGTGCCAGCTTGGGCCCCCATGTTCCCGGAAGTCTTATGGGTTCAGAGTCATGGGGCTGACTGGTTAATACAGAATCAGTCCTTGTTGAGGTAGTGTAAGGTCAGTATCTCTAAAAACAGGCTGGCTGGGGATTTAGCGGAGTGGTTCCACCGCCTGCTTCACAAGTGCAAGGACCTGAGTTTGATCCCCAGTACCAAATAAATAAATAAATAAATAAAATAAAAACAGGCTAGATCCCCTCAACCAAGAAAACATGGTTTTGGTTAGAAAGTGAACAAGACCCACCCCCAGTCCATTTAGAGATAGATAGCACCATATTAATCTACAAAGAACTTCCCTGTTCTTTTTCACAAGTGCATGGTGTTTCACTGTGTGGGTGCATCACGACCATGTTAAGTTCCTGTGCATGGGGATTAGGTGGGAAACAGTGCAGGCCTTGGCTGAAGATCAATGCCCTGGCCCAGCCTCCATGTGATGTTCACCTTTAGGCAGAATGGTGGAAAGGGACAGCAGAGGTGGGCTGGCTCTGAGTGGATGTGGATGTGGGCCTGGATAAGTTACCTCACTTATTTCTGCCTATTATCATGCTGCAGCCAGTGGTTCTTTAGAGAAAGCATTTGGCTTTGCTGTGAGCAGGGACACGGTTTTGTTGAAGATGACTGTGCCTGCCCACCCATTCCTGCCACTCGCAGAGGCCATCCATGGGGGTGTAAAGTGGATTTAGCCACCCTTGTGGGAACATTGGAGGCAGGAAAGCGAAAGCAAAGAGTACTGTTTGGTAAAAGTATTAAAACATGGGTGGGAATGATAAATATATACCAGGGCCAGTATCCTTCTCCTTCTGAAGCTGAAATGGGGTGGAGGAGACAAGAAGATAAATTTCTAGCTGTATCTGTGATGATTAATTTATTTGCACGTGTAATACGTCTGAAACAATTGTGAAAATGTGAACATTGTTAGCTCTGGAAGATAGATGCTGGTGTCTGTTACAGTACTTCCAGTGCTTGCCTGTATGTCTATAATATTTCAAAACTAAGCATGAGTATTTTATTAAGACCAAAGAGGAAAGTCCCTCCCTACTGTGTGCTCCCTGTATCTAGCACCTCCCTTTCTGTGTCACTTTCTGCTGTCCTGCCTGCCCGTCTGTCTCCCCAAGCTCATTAAGATTTCTGTGACATCCTTGTCAAACCCAGTATGGTTAATGGGCCCATTGGAAGTGGGCTCACAAGGCAGCTCTGGGAAAGCATAATATTCTTGGACTATGGGACTCAATCAGATCTGAGTCTGGGGTTTGACTTTCTGACAAGTAATTGATTTTCTTTTTTTTTTTTTTTTGATACCAGGCTGAATCAAATTTGGGCCCTTGTACTTGTGAGCCAGGCGGTGGCACCGCTGAGCTAAATCCCCGGCCCTGATTGATCCTTTAGGTGCTTTAGTTTCTCCACTTTAAAAATGGGTTGTGGTATGGAGTGAGATGAGAAGGTTCACATATGGGAAGGTCTTGCATATAACACATGATCATGAGGGGTGTTTGTCCGCCAGGGGTCGGTGAAGCATCAGGATGGGTATGTAGAAGCTTTCTTATTTGTTTGTTTGTTTGTTTTAACATCTGAAGGACTCATGGATTTTCTCAACTGAATATAATGGTGCTCCATCAGGAGTAAGAGTCAGGCTTAGTGTCTTTGGGTGCTGGGGGCAGCAGCAGGCTTGCGGTTTAATCAGCTGCCGTGGGTGGGGGTGGTCTCTGGATACGCAGGCCTGAGTATCTGTCTATCTCCCAGCAACCCTGACTCTCTCCTTGTGTTTCCTATATTGGGGTCCCAAGACCACCACCAGGTTTGGTGCTTTGTTAGCACTGTCAGCGGCTAGCTGTTCTCACAGCTGGGATTTATCCCAGTGGAAGGACACAGAGCAAACCAGCCCAGGGGAAAGGGTGGTCAGCACACAGGTGAGGTCAGGAGTCATCTGGTGGCAGCTCCCAAGGGTTTTGTCCCAGTGGAGTCACCAGGTCATACTGAGTACTGTCAGGGTCCAGTTGTGACTAAGTGCTGTGTGCCGGGAGCTCATTAGAGACGCAGAATCCAAGGCTGTTGCTGGGTCTGTCAAACTTTTCATGCACATCTCCAGATTCCAGGCTCCTAGAAGGAAATCAGGTGTCCAGCATAAACCATATTGCTGGTATGAGCAGTTCAGACACAGTGTGCCATTCTTCTTGGTCAGGATGGGAATTCTGCAAAATTCAGGTTCTCATACCTAGCCTTAACAAGCAGGTCTTTCTAGCAGGGCAGTCTAGGCCTGCTGTGTGAACTCTTTCACTTCTCTTCTGCAGATCACTGTGGAGGACTATGAGCAGGCCGCCAAGAGCCTGGCCAAGGCCCTGATGATCCGGGAGAAGTATGCACGGCTCGCCTACCACCGCTTTCCACGGACCACAGCCCAGTACCTGGGTCATGGGGTGGCTAATACTGCACTTCCAGATGAGGGTTTCCCAGGTATGGAGCTCTGGCTGCAAGTGGGGTCCTAAGTATGGGCTTGGCCCAAGAGTTGATGGGACTGAATGTGTTTCCCCTAATGGTGTTTTTAGGTATGGGGCTCTGTGTTAGCTTCTCCTACTCTGAGGTTTGCTGACTCCCCCCAGGGTTGGTTTTGTGTGTACTCTGTGCCCAGCTGTGTGTAATGAGCTGTAGGAATTAGGAAGTGGGGGAGGAGAAAGACAGTTGCTGATCATGGGAGTCTGCCAGGGAGGTAGGGAATCTCATGTAGGATACCGAAATCAATATAACCAAACAATAGATGCTGAGTTGGTGGTAGGATAAGCTCCCGTGAGAGTCCGTGCAGAAGGCACGTTCCCAGGGCAGCAGAAATAGGGTCTGGAGTCAGACACACCTGAATTCATACCCCATCAGTTTCTTGGACCTTGGGCAATATATTTCTCTAAATTTCAGTTTTGCAACCTGTAAAATCGAAGACTAATAATTTCTGTCTCCTACAGGAGATTAGAGGAAGTGAGTTAGGCTAGTGCATGTGGAGTATTTAGTGCAGCTCTGGCCTCTAGAGTGTTTAGTAAGTGGCTGCAGAGCTCAGGGAGGGGAGCTGAGAGAGGGCAGGGTGGCTTGCCAGTGAAGTCCATTGGGCATGTGAAGGACCGAGGAGCAGAAGAGGCTGTAAGTTAAGTCATACAAAGGAGGAAAAAGGGAAACCTTACTCCTGAAAGTTGGTGCTGACGTGGATAAGGCCCTGGAGGTCTGCACTGCAGTGCAGGACCCTGGCCACCCTTGACCTGTGGTGATATCAGGTTGTCCCTGTCTGGGTTCCACACAGCTCTGAGTCCTACAGTTTGAGTTTTGTTACCACCTGGGGCCCTAGGTAAATTCAGCCTTTCTGGGTCATTTACATTACAATTCCTGTCTGACAAGGACAGATAAGAATGACAGTCAGATGTCGACTTTAAACAGACCAAGGACTTGGCGTCTTGCCTTCTGTATGATGAAGCAGAGCAGCCACCTCTGTGTGCAGACTGTGGCGTCACCTGGGCCTCTGCAACCACTGCCCCTTGCATTCCATGGGGGCCGTGGACTGTGGCTATGCCTGATGGGGGCATCAGTCCCTTCTCTGCTCTGACAATCTTCACATCTCTTCTGGGTCTTGATGGAGGATGCCAGGCAGGTCAGCCTGCCCTCATTCCCTGATAGGGAGCCAGAAGTTTCCTCCACCTGGGCTGGCTGCTGGGCTGGTGCGCCTGTACAGTGTTGTCTCATCTGCAGAAAGGTGAAATTCTGTACTGTTGCATCCTTGGCTAGAGCCAGAGACCCCCAGTATGAGAAAAATAAGAATATAGGTGATCCTCAACTTGTGATGGAGTTCACCTCAGTAAACACAACCTGCTCTGAAAATGCATTTATTGTATCTAGCCTACCTTAAGTGTGCTCAGAGCACTTATATTAACCTACAGTTGGTCAAGATCATCTAACATAAAGCCTATTTTGCAATAAAGTGCTGAATATCTCATGTAATTTATTGATACTATTCTGAAAATGAAAATGAAATGATTATATGGGTATTCCTTTTCACAAAGTAGAAACATTTTAAATTGAACTGTCGGTCTGTAGTAGTGCAGGGCATGGCTGTAGGCAGTTTTCCTGTATACACTTTTGTAGGCCTCACAACTGTCTGTGAAAGTAGGGGGTGTTATCATTAGGTGAAGGGATATGATCAGAGAGGTAAAGGAGCTCATTTAGAGTCTCATAGCTGGAAAATAGAAAAAGGCGTTTTCTGATTCCTGGGGGTTGCCTTAGGCCACAGCTGTGGGGACAGACAGCTCTGTCCTTCCCATTTGCTGTGTGAGAGACAAGCTCTGTCCCATGCTGTGATGGGGACGGTTGTCTTCACCATCCAGCTTGTTGGGTATTATTGGCTGAGGAAGATGTGGGAAGACGGGGCATTTATTCCCACTGGGCAGTCCTAGTGCTATCTATTCTATCAGGAGAAGACACAGCTGCCCTTCCTAACATTCCCGGAGCCCCTGAAGGCCAAGGAAGTGGAAGCCCTTTTCAATTAAACCAAAAAGAACTGATGAAGCACCAACCATGAGCCAGGGATTGTTCTAGGAATAGAGCACAAGTCAGAGTCACAGTCTGCATGCAGCGTCTACTCTGTCTGAGTAGAGAAGATCTGCAACCCTCAAGATAAGAAGTACAGTGATTTTGTACAGGGGTAGGTGCTAAGGAGACAAACTAAATCAGTGAAGGGGATATGCGGTGTCAGGGCAGGTGAGTGGTTTTTAGATAGAACACCCAGGGCAGGCTCACCCAGAAGGGAACTTCTGAGCACACACGAGTTTGCAAGGTCAGTTGTGCTTGGCCATCATTCCATCCTGTTTTGCAGACTTCCACCCTCCCCCACTGCCCCAGGAGGACCCTTACTGCCTGGACGATGCACCCCCCAACCTGGGCTACCTGGTCTGCATGAGGGGGGGCATCCTCTTTGTGTATGATAACAAGCAGATGCTGGAGCGCCGGGAGCCCCACAGCCTGCCCTACCCTGACCTGGAGACCTACACAGTGGACATGAGCCACATCCTGGCCCTCATCACCGACGGCCCCACGTAAGCCAGCTTCCCCCTACTCCCCCATTGGATGGGTGCTAATTTGTAGGAAGGACCTGAGGGCTTTCCTGTATGTAAACCATCCAGAAAGAACATGGTTGCCCCTTCTCTTTGCTTTGTGAATTTCTGCAACGGTTTTCCTTCATGGGCTGGCATATTCTTTGAGTTGTTACTACCTATCCTTTCTGCATGTGTAGGTGTGAAGCTTCTGTTTGTTGGTGGCTGCCTGTGTACCTTAAGACAGCTGCCACCTTTCTGCCCAGGCAAGACCACAGCCTTGCAGAGAGCTACCAGTCAGGGCAGATGGCACGGCTGTACACAGTGGAGAAGGGATGAAGGACGTCGCCTCAGGTCTTGGGTTTTCGTGCTTCTGGAGAGGAGCATGCAGGGAGCCTGGGGCACATTGTGTCATGACCTCCTGATGCTCATGGCCTGGCTCAAGCTGTCTTCCTGCATTTGGCCCCTCATTTCCTGGTGGGCATCTGGGGCTAATCAGCAGTGAAAGTTCAGCATTCCGTACATAGAACCTCAGCATGGCTGTGCCAAGAGCTGTCACACCGGGGACCTTCTCTCGCTGCTCCTGCCTTTTGGTTTTGCTAAGAATGATATGATGCTGTTCCCCCAGGAAGAAGAGTGGGTGGACAGCTTGGTTTTGGTCCTCACTGATCTGAGGGCAGAACTAAAATCTGGGATGGGTTGCAGGCAGTTTCTGAGAGGCCCTTCACGGCCAGATGTGTGAGCAGTGACTGTCCTGTCTGGGAGGTTGTCAAGGTGAGATGTTCCCCGGGAGAGAGACTAGCTAACGTGGCCTTTACACTCCTTGCTTCTCTGCTTACCCTGGGGCTACTGTTGGGGGTTGGCAGCTGTTGTTTATGGGAGCCTAGGTGCAGGATGCCAGAGCAGCTGCTGTTTGTTCTGAGGTCATGAGGAAGCAGGGTGATATGATTGATGGTTGAAGGTTCTGTGTGGCTGTGGACTCAGGCAAGGGGCCAGGCACCTGAGTTGGGGTGGTGGCAGTTGGGTGCAGCAGTGAGCTACCTACCACCATCGCTGGCTGAGAAAACCTCCCTCCTGTGACCACCTTCTCTGAGCTGGGACCTGGGGCATCAGCCCTATAGAGGTTTCTATCTTGGCAGCCAATGCCCCTGCATTCCCAGTTTGCTCATGATGCCCCCTCCCAGTCCTCCTTTGGTCCTGAAGTCACTGAGTTGAGGATTTGGGTACATTTCTTCAGGGTGAGTTGTACCTGTACATTCCAAGGTGGGCAGGCCATGCCTTATAATTTGATTGCATTATTGATATTCTGGGCTATTGATCTCTGCCTTAAGGAATTAAAGGTGGCTGAAGACAGACGGTGGGGGAGAGAAGAGAGGAAGAAGGGAGACATAATTAGTGCGTGTTAGTACGGCATAAGGGTGGGATTTGTTTGGTACGTTGATATATGAATTTAATGTATCTTAATCAGTTGCAATCCCATTACTTCCCTCTCTCTTCCTCTTCCTTCCCACGGATCCCCTTCCCCACCTCTAAAAGTCTGCTTCCTTATCTGCTGTCATCTAAGGAGTGAGACTTACCGAGCATCTGTCTTGCTCAGAGTTGAGGCCTGTCACTGGCAGAAGCCAATTTAATTCTCATTTCAGCTGTGGTTACCATCTCAGTATTTATTTGTGGGGTATTTATTCGTAGGAATGGAGGCTTCTGGTTAATTGATTAAGTGCAGAGAGCTAGAAGTCAAAGAACTGGATGAGGTCCCAAAGTTGGATCTGCACTGCCCATGTTCAACTTTGCTGACTCTATGGGGCACACAGTGGTGTTAACCAGTTCAGCCGGTTCAGGTCTTCAGGAAGCTGGGAGCCTCTTAGCCCTCTCTGATGTGAACTTTTCACCCAGGGGTTGGCTGCCCGTGCTGGAGGTCTCCAAACTGAGATTGATGTGATTGCTCCTCACCTGTGATCTCTCCCCATCCTCAACCTACAGGAAAACCTATTGTCACCGGCGACTGAATTTTCTGGAATCCAAGTTCAGCCTTCATGAGATGTTAAATGAAATGGCTGAGTTCAAAGAGTTGAAGAGTAACCCCCACAGAGACTTCTATAATGTGAGAAAGGTGGGTCAGCGCCTACCTGACGCCGCCCCCTGCCCTCGGCACAAGGATGCCCTGAGCCAGTCTGGAGTTGGCATCCTATGAGAGTACCAGGGCTCCTAGTTATAGGTGGCCCTTCTTGGTCAGAGTAGAATGTGTGGTGTCCCTGTGGACTGTGGCCTCTTCTTTGGGAAGTAGGGCACAGCTTGTTAATTGGTTTTTACAGTGGAGCACAGACCACTTCTAGGGTAGGGAATGTTTTACGACCTTTTTGAATTTGGTAATTCATGATTGTACATCTGTGGATCAGGTATATTTAAAGAAAGGCACCAAACACGGTCCTATCTCTGTTCTTCTTCTACCCACTGAGTGGCTGAGTAGTATCTGGCACCCTCAGCCTGCAGGGGTGGCCGCAGGAGCAGGTGTGCACCTTAGCCGTCATGCCCTCCAGTTTTTCCACTTTTTTCCATGTAAGTAACACACAGAGAGGCATCAGATCAGCGCTGAGTGTGGGGCACTGGATGGGGAGCAAGTGTCACTTCTGGTGGACGAGAAGTTTCTAGCCTATTACCTTAGGAATAAGTGTGGTGACATTGTTTGCTTCTGAGGTGGCCCAACCGGTGGTCCTGGGCTCAATAGCTGCTCCCTGCCTCGATGTGGAAAGAGCCCCGTGTGGGGCTGTGGCTCCATATGACAGGCAATCCTTGGGGTATCCTGTCAGTCTGGGGTTAAGGTACTCTCCGGACAGAGGGGCCTTCACTCTTGTGTGGTGACATAGTGGCCAGTTCTCTGGTACCACAGTCCGTCTGTAAATATGTGCCTAGGCAGCGACACAGGCTTGTGCTCACTTCTGCCCAGGGGGCGTCTGTGTCCTGGGTGCTGACTGCTTTATCTCACTCTCAGAGCCTCCACGGTGGGGAGGACATTAGCTTTCTGAAGTCCAGAGTGGACTGAGCGGGGGCCTCCCCATTTCTTTTATTATTATTATTATTATTATTATTATTATTATTATTATTATTATTATTATTTTTCCGGTACCTGAGATCGAGCTCAGAACCTTGTGCTTGCCAGGCAGGCACGGTGTCACTGAGCTGCATCCTCAGCCCCTACCTACTTCTGAGGTGGCTGTTGTGTCACCGGGTTACAACAGGGCCGGGCTCTGAGGGCAGGAGCTGTGGGATGGCCATGAGTCTGTGTGGGCAGTGGCTTTTGACACTATGAGGCCCAACCTGCAGGATCAGTGCACTGTGGAGTTTTTACAAGCCTGCCTTTCTTTCTGTTGTATGGCACTTGGCACAGCATTCACCCTACTTTTGATCATACCTCATAAAGACACTTATGAAAAGAGGACTTTCAGAAGTGCCAAGAATGATGGGAATAAATATGTTCAAAAACAATGGGGAGTATCTTGAGAATTAATGGTAATGTGTCTTTGACTATAATAAATTCTTTAAAAATTTAAACAATTGCCCTGTTTTTTGACCACTCCTTGTAGAAGGGATGAGTGTGTCTGCCTGCTTGAGAGCTGGGCATACTGGGCATGATCCACATTGGTAAATTTCATTTTAGGGATCGCAAATAGGTTTCATCTTTGTGCCAAACTTGAGCAGCTAGGAGTGGCCCCGGGACTATTCCAGAGGCTGGGTGAAAAGGGTGCTGTAGTTGTTTACTGATGTCTGCCTTGGTTATGGAAATGGTCAGGTTCAGCTCAGGACCAGGTCATGGCCAGCCCTGTTTGGAAGCTCTAGTATTTGTTCAGACCTAGCTTGTAGGTGAGAGCAAGCAATGTTGTTGTTGCTGTTGTTTTTAACCTTCTGGTGAATTGAAAACACTGATCTCCAATGACAACCTCTTTGATTTGTTCCTAAAATAATCACCTCTGAGATTCTGAAGTTTGGGTTGAGTGCTTCCGGGTTGTCCAGTTGGTTTCTTCTTTGTCTTGGAACTCATGGGGATGGGAAAGGCTGAACCCCCTGTGGGGTGTCCCTGGTGAGCTGGAGGACACCAGAAGCCCGGAATGTGCTGAGTCATGCAGGGGCAGTAAAGCAAGGCTGTGTCTAGTGGAACTAAGCCAGGCTGACCTTGTCCTGTGCACCCTGCAGGAGCCGATCTCATCGCTCAGGGGCCCAAGCCTTGGCACCATGCCTTGGGGAGTTCTTTCATTTCTCTGATGTTTGGTGGTCTTTCTGCTAAGAGTGGCAGGATGAATGGCTGGAAGGGGATGAGGGAGTGATGTGGCCTAGGCACATGGCTGGCTGGGATGACACACGTGGAGGCCCAGTAGATCAGATGTTTGAACCTCCGTGGATAGCATCCCCTGGACTGAGGTCAGCACCTCCTCACTCCAGCCCTGGCAGAGAGCCTGGTCACAGAGTTCTGTGGTGCAAGCTGGTGGCTGTCAGTGCCCAGGTCTGCGAAGCTGCTGTCCTCTCTGACGGCCTCCCTCAGAGCCCTTGGGCTCATGGAAGGGGATTCAGGATGACTGCTGTGACTTCAGACCACCCCTCAGCTTGCCAGATGTGTCCGGTGAATGGAGGGTGGGGTTGAGGAGGATGGAGAGATGGTGATCTCGGTGGGGGCCTCAACCTAAGATTAATGAGAGTATTTAGCAACAGAATCTAGTTGTATAACAAATTCTATTCTATCTTCTATGTGTGGAGAATGGATTGAACCAGGGCAAGAGAAAAAAATGGCAAGATAGTTATGAGGTCATTATGGGCTCAGGAGTGAGAGCATGCAGAGTTGGACTCAGGCGGCGATAGCGGGGCTAGCGAGCACTGTGTGCTTTTGACATCTCCTTGGGAGGTGGAGTTGATGGGACTGAACAGTATTAAGAGAATCGAGAGAGGAAGGTGGAGGTGACTCCTGGCTGTCCAATGTGAAGAACTGGGTGTGGGGAATACCATTTCCTGGGATGCAGAAACCAGGAAGACGTTCAGGTTTGGGCTGGGGCCAGAGATTTTTGGACCTATTAGATTTGAACTGCCTTTGAGTTACCAATGGAGATGTCAAATAGCAGGTATATGGGAAATTGTGGAGTTTTAAGCTGATGATATCCATTTGGAAGTTGGTGTTAAGAAGAAAATTAAGGGTGCAGATAGAACAGATAACCTTTGGGGAGAATGTAAAGTGAGTGAGAGGACAAGGGGGCCCAGGACCACTTGGGAGGTCTGGTAGTGAGGACAAACCTGTCTGAGGAGACTGAAAAGGAGAAGCCAGAGAGGCAAGGGACCGTTTGGTGTCATGGAACTTAGCATGATCTTGAGGTAAGCAGTCCCATGATGGATTCTGAGATCCTGAAGCTCCTTCTTGGTGCCTTCCTGGGGGTGCAGAAGTCCAAGCTCGCAGTGCCTTTCTTCAAGTTAAGACTTGCTCTAAGACATGAGCCCACACATTGGCTTAGGGTCAGGACAGCTGCTTCTAACTGGGGTTTGGATGCAAGGGTTTGGTTGAGGTGGAACTGGCTGAGAAGGGTGAGGCGTGGCTGCCCTCTCCTCTTGCTCCCACCTGGGACTTCGCTTTGAGGATGCTTTGGGTGTTCCACAGAGGTCAACTAAAGAATGGGGTTTGGCGGTGCCAGTGGTGGCCTTGAGGGTTACATGAGGATGTGGATTTCATTGAAACTATTGGACCCTATTTCATCAGTTCCTTTAGTATGTTCATCCATCCATTGATTCATGTGATACTTGGTACCAGTCTCTGGGGTAGATGCTGGAGACTTTGGTACATCAGACGTGGTCCCTGTCCTTGAGGAGCTCCCGGGCTTGTGGAGGAGTAGACAGCGTATTAGAGTGGGAAGGAGGATACGCCCAGCAGTGAGAATCTGTGCCAGACTCCCAGACTGGGCCAGGGAGATTGGATTAGTTGTGCTTAGGTTACCAAGATTGGCTTCCACGTGGAAGAGATTGGTGGGGTGGAAGGAAGGCATTTCAAGCTGAGAAATGCATGCACACTTTCAGAGTATGGTGTAGTTTGGTGCCCTGAGCACTATAAGGGGTTTGCCATAGTTGGAGCATGCAGTGGGTCAGTGGCAAAGCAAGAGTTAAGGGCTAAAGTAGTCCCAAATCCCAGGGGCACTGAGCTTTACTTGAGGATGCTGGGGCCATCGATGATTTGTTTACCGGAGTGGCCTGGTCCAATGTGCATGGAAAGGTCTCCTGATGCTGTCAGGAGGAGGTGGATTGGATGGCAAGGCTGATGGGAGGGGGGCGGTTCTAAAGTCTAGAGTGCACATGGGGAGGGCATCAGAGTATGGAGGGGCCATATGGTGCCGAGAATGGGGCCCCGCTCACACGCTGCTGGGCACTGTTTCAGGTGGACACACACATCCATGCAGCGGCCTGCATGAACCAGAAACACTTGCTGCGTTTCATCAAGCACACGTACCAGACGGAGCCTGACAGGACTGTGGCTGAGAAGCTGGGCCAGAAGATCACCCTGCGGCAGGTGTTTGACAGTCTGCACATGGATCCCTACGACCTCACTGTGGATTCGCTGGATGTCCATGCGGTGAGTGAGCTTCAGCCCCAGTGCTTTAAGCAGAAAGCAATGGAATAGTCTTTAGCCTTAAAAGGAAGAGCAAAGACTTTATTGGTGGTTGTTCAGTGGTCTTCTGTTCTGTGCTCCTTTGGCCAGCCGTATTCCTTGCCATGAGTCCTTGGAGCATGAGGCCCTTGACATTCCTTCATAGAGGGCCTCACCGAAGGGCCCTGTGGCTGGCCGTGGACAGTACATGGTTCTGGTCCTCAGGCATTTCCAAGACTGCTTGTAAGAAGCCATTTGGAAGTCCTCTTTCAGGGTGGCCACACATAAGGCCTCCTTGTAAAGTCCAGGAGAAGAGAGTGTGTGTGGTGGCTGCAGACCCATGTGGTGACCTGGTGGTGGTCTCCTCCCCCAGGGCCGGCAGACATTCCATCGCTTCGACAAGTTCAACTCCAAATACAACCCTGTGGGGGCCAGTGAGCTCCGTGACCTGTATTTAAAAACTGAAAACTACCTGGGAGGAGAGTACTTTGCTCGGATGGTCAAGGTAAGTGAGCTCTTCGCTTTTCCAAGGCCCCTTTAAGGTGTCTGCTGTTAGAGGACGGGGACCCTGTGTGGCCTCCTGTCCCCTTTCCCTCCCCAATCCCTCTCTGTCCACCATCCAGCTCAGGCAAGTCCTGAGGTGCTCAGGTGCCCATGCTCTGGTCCTGGCTGCCTGCTTCTGGGCATGGGAAGGCGGAGCAGTGTGTGCTGACTGCAGGCAAGGGAAGGGGACAGTATCCATCCTGGTAGAGTCCGCAGCATCCTGGGGGCTGTGCCCTAACTCTTGCATCCTGAACTTGGCTGGGTGCTGGCTGGCTCCGTGTGACCTGCTGCCTCCTGACCTGATTCTGCAGAGCAGTGGTGCAGACAGAAGGACTTCCTCCCAGGGGAGCCACGGCTGGGCAGTGAGTGCCGGCACAGCAGCCAGCAGACTTCTGGGTCAGGGGGCTGAGAGAGCCGGGGGCCCAGCTGGAGGCAGGGGTCTCCCTGTTGCTGGGGGCTCTAGGGCAGACTCCGCTGGTTTTTCTTCATACCAGGAGGTGGCCCGGGAGCTGGAGGAGAGCAAGTACCAGTACTCAGAGCCACGGCTCTCCGTCTATGGCCGAAGCCCACAGGAGTGGCAAAACCTGGCCCACTGGTTCATCCAGCACAAGGTCTACTCGCCCAACATGCGCTGGATCATCCAGGTGCCCCGGATCTAGTGAGTGAAGCGCTTGATGACTGCCTCAGGCCCTCTGGGGACAGCAGCACTGTGTGCATGGGCTCCTGAGTCTGCACCTTGGAAGGGTGGGGCATGTTCTGGGGTCTAAGATGTCCTCATGACAGTCACGCTCTTGCTGTTTCAAAGAATGTATATATATCAAGGTCACAGGGGAGCTCCCTCCCCACCTTCTCACTGAGGGTTTGGATGAGCCCCTGGGGTACAAAGTGACCAGGTGGTATCCACACTGTGGGTGTCTCAGCTGGGGCACTGCTGTTCTCTCCAGGTGGTCTCAGTGTGGGGTGTCGAGTTTCAGAGCTGAGAGGCACAGTCTGGATCACTAGGGGGTTTGAGGACTCCTCCCGCTCTCTGGCCTGAATCCCGTCGTCCCACTCCCGAATGGCCTCTGGCCCATGGGGATGGGCAGGCATTGACTTTGCAGACCACTGCCTGGTACTGCAGAACATGTGGGACAGCAGGAGAAAGGCCACGGCTGACTCCACTCTGGGGCTTTCGCCGGGACGCAGGCTGCTGGGGAAGTGGCTGGGGCAGGTCAAGGGGAGTAAAGGCCCCTGAAGAAAAGTCTCTGCTTCCCCTAGTGACATATTTAGGTCAAAGAAGCTGCTGCCAAGCTTTGGGAAGATGCTGGAGAATATTTTCCTGCCTCTTTTCAAGGCCACAATCAACCCTCAAGATCACAGGGAGCTTCACCTCTTCCTCAAATACGTAAGCATGGATGGCACTTGGGACAAGCTCACTATGGCAGAGGATGGGCATGTTCCCTGTGGATCCGGTCAGATTTCCTCCCTGTCCCTTACCATGGCTCCCCTTCCCGGTTCCTGTCTCCCCTGTGCCCCACGCATGGGGCTGCCAGCCCCAGGAGCCTGACTTGGTGAAATAAGGGAGCCTCCCCTGAAGGGGATGTCCCCTTCTTCCCAGAGGCAGCCCTGGGTCTGGGGCAGAATGTGTCCCAGCTGGGGAGGGGAGCAGGGCCCAAGGGCAGAGAGTCAGTGCCTGCTCAGGGGACAGAAGTGGATCTTGCCCCAGCCAGCGCCAGGATGCTGCCATGGTCTTAGAGATGCAGGCTTTTCTACCCCACTGCTTTTACTTCACACCATGTATGATTTGGTATAAGACCCACGCAATGTACTTCTCTTCCGTGTTTGGGTAGTTAAAGGAGAGAAGGAGAAGAGAAAGGGGAGAGATTTAGGAGAAAGAGAGGTGGGGAGGGGACGGTCCCTCCCTCTGGATGCTCAGAATAAAAGGGACATCAGAAGGAGCAGCATTCGGGGCAGGATGACATTTGACAGGGAGGGGCCCTGGGGGAAGGGGGTATTGAGGCTGGATGTGTAGGGGCTGCTGGGAAAGTGTGTGGACAGGCTGAGGGGTGTGGCTGGATTATGTTTAGGCAAGTGTCCTCGAGCTGTTGTTCCGAGGATAGCCTGGGACAGGGTGGCTGCGGGTGGGGGAGAGGCAGCGTGAAAGGCAGGGACCCTCCAGTCCTGTGGACGTGGTAGGTGTTGAATCGTCGGTAACAGCTCACATCTGTGCGTGCTTGCCACCTGGCCAGCTGTACACTACCCCCAGGATCACTTCAGCCTCACATTGACCCCATCTTTGTCTCCGTTATGCTGTTGGCAGAGCCGTCCTGTGTGGTGCTGTGTCCTAGAGCAGAGGACAGTGGGTGGCAGATGTGCGGGACGTGTGCTCAGCTGCTGTTTGTATCACTGAAAGCTCTAAAAGGTTCCACATCGCTGTCCTAGAGGCCGTGGGAAGGGTCCCCAGGGACTCTCCCTCTTAATCCTCACAACAGCCCATGCAGCTGCTAGCTCCAGGCTTACACTGGAGGAGATTAAACAGAGAAGTCCCAGAGCTAGAAAGTGGCAGAACTGGAATTCATTCACTGCCTCCCATGTGGGGGTGAGCCTGTGGCCCTGTGTAGGGCAGGGCACGGACTCTGGGAGGAGGTGACTCCTTACAATCTGGGCAGGGACTGGAGCAGACCAGGATGCCTCAAGTGTCTGGTTTTCTAAGAGGGTGGATTCTGTGTCCCTAGGAAGCCTCTGGCCATGGTGGGGAAGAGCAGGATTGGTCAGGGTTGGGAGAGGGAGAAGGAAAAGAGGGAGAGGACGAGGTGGATGCGGACAGGAGGAGGAAAAGAGGGAAAAGGAGGAAGAAGGGACAGCAGCAGAGGAGGAGGAGGAAGAGGATGTTGAGGCCCTGGCTGCTGAGACCTGGGGAGGGACCTGGCCTTATGCTCTTTCCAGGCCCCAGAGTGTTCTGGTGATGTACAGGGCTAGTGAGAAGATCAGAGCTTGATGCCCTTTCCAGCCCCCTAGTCCCATCAAGGGGCCATTTAGAGCCACAGTGAGCCCTGTTGTTTCCTTGAACACAGCCTCATGATTTCGTGCTCTTTTGGACACCTCTTACCCAGGTGGGAAGTAAGAGGCTGGCAGACCAGGCTGTGACCTGGGCCTTGGGCTGGGAGCCCCCATTCCCAGCTCGGGTCAGCTGTAGAGTAAGGTGAACAAACAGTCTTTCTTTCTCCTGTCTGGGGTTCAAAGGCCCCTTTCCAAAATACTTCTGTGGCTGAGCAAAAGGAAGGAGACCTGTTTGCAAAGCCACTGGTGCTGGCCAAAAGCTGTGTTTGTGGGTGCTTCTTGATTGGGCTGTACCTCTAGGGTTGGTCACAAGGCTCTGTGAGTCCAGCCTGGAGACTGGTAGTCGGGGAGACTCTAGGCTTACGGATGGGTCCCAGCTGCGGTCTAACTGCAGTGGAAGGGAAGTTTCCTGAGGCTCCTCTGACCAGCCCACAAGGAAGCAGAGCTGCCTCTGGGAGCCGTGGGTCAGCCTGGCCGGGCCCTCTGGGTCTGCTGGTAAGGCATCCAGCTGGTGTCTTGAGGCTGTACCCGGACATGTGCCAAGGTAACCACCATTTATAGCCTCCAAAGGCAGACCCGAAGCCTGGATGTCCTACTTGGGCAACTGCCTCAATCACTTTGGCTTGGTTTGCCCAACTATAGAATGAGGCTCATAGGCCACCCCTCCCTTACAGTGTGGGCTCTGACCTTCAAATTAGCTGGTGTGTGTGAAGGGCTTCAAGTAGGGCCTGGTGTGTAGGGGCACAACCTCTTGTCACTGCTGCTGGCCGTGGCTACTGTCCCCTGCAGTGCTGGCTTCCTGGACACAGTAGAGGGACAGGGGACAGATATGGCTACTCTCTCTGGCCCAGCCCGAATTCTCACCACTGCCGTGCAGGGGCTGGGCACTCTCCATCCTGGCCTCCTGGGCACTTTGGGAAACTGAGGGGACAGAATGTGCTGTGGTACCTGGGGGGGATGTGGCCTCAGCAGATCCAGGCCCAGCCAAGGTGTGCACCCCAGAGGCCTTGGGCAGCTCGGCTCTGAGCCAGTGGATGCCGAGCTGAGCCTGAGTCCTGGCCTTCCTGCCTTGCCTTGGTGCTCAGGACCTCCTCTCCTGCCCAGGTGACAGGGTTTGACAGCGTGGATGATGAGTCCAAGCACAGTGACCACATGTTCTCAGAGAAGAGCCCCAGCCCAGACATCTGGATCAGCGAGCAGAACCCGCCCTACAGCTACTACCTTTACTACATGTACGCCAACATCATGGTGCTCAACAACCTTCGCAGGTGAGGGAGCTGGCCCCATGCCTGAGCTTGCATTCATATGTGATCCACTGTGTCTGTGTGTACTTCAGCCAACACATGTCCACGTGTCCAAGGGGGCGCTCCCTAGGATACTACACAAGCACGTCACATGAGCGCACACACGCAGACATCACTACTGCAACACACATGCCAGTATGGACGTGGACTGTATGTACAGCAAAGCTGCGCACCACATGTTCATGTGTACACAGTCACCGACACACCTCCATGTGTACCTGTACATCTCTGAGACAGTGGAAACATAGGACATACCCACACAGGCGTGTTCACTCACTCCCACACCAACAATGTCCACACACTCATTTATGCTCTCAACAGATTACTGCAGCTGCAATGCGATAGGCACAGTCCTAGGTACTGGGCAGAACACAGCCTGTCTGTGCACGTCTCATGGATGGTCTCATATGCATGGGCTGCCACTGACACACAGAGGCAGGCATGGGCAGCGGTTCCGTGCCCAGAGCCACAGGACACCAAACCATCCCCTCTTTCTGTAAGTCTTGCCCCCCACCTTTCCCTGCTGGGTCAGGGGTTTCATTACCATGGGGTCACAACAGAAAGGAGAGGCCTGGTATTAGGGTAGTGGCAGTCCTGGGCTGAGCTTTTCAGGGTGAGGGTTCTAGCTCTAGTTGCCAGTGACCTATTCAGTAGGTGTGAACGCGGAATTCTCTCTGGGCCTTGGTTTGCCCCATTTTGTAACAAAGGAATTGGACTTGGTTTCCCAGGGTGTTTCTTGCTCTGGAGCTGATTGGTGACCCAAGGCCTGGTGATGAGTGGGAGGAGCTCTCTGTACCACTAGGCCCTTCTCTGCCCTTGGAGGTCCTGTCTGTTGGCTCTGAGGTGCTCTGGGATAGACCTCTGCATCTTAGGAGGTGTCATCTCTGAGGTGTGCCGGCCATGCCATGGGCGACTCTCTCCGGGAGTGGATCTTGGGCTGGGGTGCGGGCCCCAGGCAGACTGAACCAGGACCTTCCTTCTCCTCCAGAGAACGGGGCCTGAGCACGTTCCTGTTCCGGCCTCACTGTGGGGAGGCCGGCTCCATCACCCACCTGGTGTCTGCCTTCCTCACTGCTGACAACATTTCCCACGGGCTGCTCCTCAAGAAGGTAAGTGACTGCTCATATGACCCTGCCCTGCCCTGGGCTCCTTGAGGCTCCTGCCCAGCCCCTGAAAGCTCTGGCCCGTGATGCTAGGGTCGGGACTTTTTTCTGGGGTGAGATATCTGTAGTCATCTTGGTTTAATTTTTAATTTTGAGAGCAGTATAGCCAAACACATTCCAATTTAGATTTTCCAAAACTTGGAGAAATGAAAAAAAAACACTTATTGCTACTACCTTATAGAATCAGCTCTATTAGCATTTCAGTATTTCCAACTCCTTTTATCCACACCATATTTTAATCTATTTATGATAAATACAGAATTTCGGTTCCTGCTTTGTCCCTTGATGTTGTATAACAAGCATTTTTCTGTGCTGCACATAATACCTAAACTCTTCACTCTGCAGGCCTTTGGGTGCACCATTGGCCACTTGATGTATAATGGGCTCCACCAGTTCCCAGTGGTGGACACATAGCGTCCTTCTGGCTTTTCCCATGTAAATGTGCTGTCATGAGCTCTGGGCACTCTCTGAAGCTTCCCATATTTTGGATCATTTTCATAGGAGGAGTGCAGTTTGCTCCCAGTGCTTCCCTGCCCTGATCCTGGCAGGTCCGGGCTCATGTGACATTTAGGTATGAGATGTGTACTCATCAGACCACTGTAGCCTGGCCAGGTCCACCCCTGCCCAGCCTTTGGGGTATATCTCCGAGGGGCTAGAGTGTTCACAGTCCCAGTCGGAAGGTTTACAGTCAGAGAAACAAAGCCACCCCCATGGGGCATCTGGAGGCCTGACCGCAGCGAGTCAGGGCCTGGGGAGGGAGAGCCACAGTTGCTGACTAAAGCCACTGCCCTTCTGCCCCAGGCGGTACCTCCCCTTGGAGCCAGAGTGGGCACTTCAGACAGTGGGGAGGAGGGCCGGGCCTGGAGGGCTGGCATGTGACATAGGAATGAGAGAAACGGGGCCAGGGAAGGAGAGACAGCGCGAGTCTCAAAGTTGTGGCTTTGGGGAACTCAGGCTTGGTTGGTACAGACCCAGCCCAAGCTCTGGTTTCCACTGCTGAATGTTTCTCCTGTCCCGTCCTGCATGTGTCACATGAGTTTGGTGGTTTTTTTGCAGAGTCCAGTGTTGCAGTACCTCTACTATCTGGCCCAGATCCCCATTGCCATGTCTCCTCTTAGCAACAACAGCCTTTTTCTGGAATATTCCAAGAACCCCCTTCGGGAATTCCTGCACAAGGGGTTGCACGTCTCCCTCTCCACCGATGACCCCATGCAGTTCCACTACACGAAGGTGACAACTCCAGGGGAAGGGCCATGGTGTCCCAGCAGCCTTGGTCCACTCCTGCCCTTCCACCATGGGGACCTATGCCCAGTGCTCAGTTTGGTGTTTGGGTGAGGGGTTGGTGGTCCAGTCAAGGCAAAGGGTGAACCCTTCTTGGCATCTTTGAACCCCTGAAGGCATAATTGGATTTCTTTGTCTTTCTCCATTTTCTCTTCCTTTGATATCTACTAGTTCTGTGACCTTGGTAAAGTTATTAGTCCTCTCTGTATTGAATTCCTCTTCATCGGTAAAATAGGGCATACACGTGCCTCTACTTGTGGAGATTAAGATAATGAATTCAATTTAATCAAATAGGGTCTAATATGCAGCACGTGTTCAAAATATCAGGCGCCTTTTGTTGTACCATGATTATTATTGCACTTGAGATCTCTGGGAAGAAAGAAGGGAAAGGTGATGTCATGCCTGGGAATCAACCATGAGTGTGCTTAGCACATTTTGATGGTGCTGACAAGACCAGGCACTGATTAGCAAAATGGAAGCATCCGAAGTCTTTTCAGGCAGAGTTTCTCCCGTCTTTGGGTCTCTGGATCTCTTTATACTCTGGGAAGAACTGAAGCCCTATATGGATTGTATCTATTGTTAGAAACTGATGAAAAACATTTACAACACTAACTCACTTAAAAATAACAGTAATGGACTTGTTATATAAATAGCAATTTTATGAAAAATAACTATTTCCCAGAACAAAAATATCGAGGAGAGTGGCACTGTTTTGCAATTCTGCAAATCTCTTTAATGTCTTCCTTAATAGAAGACAGCTGGATTCCTGTATCCGCCTCTGCATTCAATTTGTTGTTTCTTTCAAAGCTTGTGAAAATCACCTCGCATCACAAAGATACATAGTTGGCAAAGGGAGGACCTTTCAGAAGGTCTCTAGTTGCCTGAGGTCCTAGGACCACACTTTGAAAACCCCGGGTCTAGGAGACAGAGGCGATAGGGTGGGTGGGGGAAGAGATCTCAGAGGGGCCAGTGATCACTGTCAGCTCTTTCACCTCCCCGGAGATAAAGTGGCACCGCTGCTCAAACTCAGCCCTTTCAGGATTACACCATCTCCCCGCTGGTACTAGGATCATTTTTCATTTAATGTTCCCTCTCTGCCTGAGTACGTCACTCATACTTTTACTTTTGGGCAATCTTAAGAAAATGGTGTTGGATAAAAAAGGAAGACTGAAGAACAGGTAGTATTAAAAATGTATCTGACTAGAGAGGTGTTAAGTAAAAATTTGTGGGAGGCCATGGATGTGGACTGAGAGCCTCTGTTGGGCTCCACAGACCAAACAAATGTAAACTTTAGTCATAGTGACTGAGCTTTGGTTGCTTGCAGAGGTCCCTGGAACCAATTAACTGATTAAACTGTACACAACAAACTAGTTCAGCTGTAGCCAATTGACTAAGCTGTAGCCAATTAAGTTATTTTCTGTGCCTCACTTCTGGTTTTCTGTAAATACTGTGGGTCACATTGTTGGTTGGAATTCTCAGAATCTGCTCTGGGTAGAGGAGCTACTGAGCCATTCTTTTTTTTTCTTAATAGATTACTAGGCTAGTCCAGGAAACATTCCTGGACATTGTCACAGGAGAGCAAGCTGGCATCCCTGTGATGACCAGCCCTGAGTTTTAAACACAATAGGCTCTTAGTCCTGGTCAACAAACAAATGCAGAGGAGTTCTTTTAATTCTTTTTTGTGACCTGTAATCACACACACACACTAGGAGTTTGGAATGTAAGGTGTGATTGTTTGATGATGGAGGTTCCAGCTGGAAAAGAAAGGTGAAATCTGCCGTGCATGTTGGTTTTCGTTTTGGTTTTGGGAACACGTGATTGATGCCATGTGCCCTCTAATCCGTGTCCTCTGGGCCGGGATCTAGGAGGCACTCATGGAGGAATACGCCATCGCTGCGCAAGTGTGGAAGCTGAGCACGTGTGACCTGTGTGAGATCGCCAGGAACAGTGTGCTGCAGAGTGGCCTCTCGCATCAGGTACGGTGCGCGAGGGGCTGTCCCTAATCCTCTCATCCTTTCAACAAATGGGCAAAGAATGCCTACTGCGTGCCAGGCACCTTCAGGGCCCTGGGGATCTGTGGCAATCAGCACAAGTAGGGTCTCTGGTACAGTGACACTCGAGCCCTTGGAGCAAATCCTTGGGGACCTCCTGCATGTTCACGGCTGCTCCCTCACCTTTCTCAGACACCCCTTGGAGTGACCTGCCGTGGTCACCCATGCTAAAACAGCCATATACTTGCCATCATCTTTTACTGCCTTCCGTAATCCTTCTCACTACTGACAATGTAACGTGCATTTCCTTACGGGCCCGGCAGTGCTGGTACACAGCAGGTGCTCAGTACTTCTGGGATAGATGACTGCATCTAGATTGGAGGAGAGAAACTCTGGGATGGAACCTGGGAACTAGAAGTATTTGTACAGCTTGCTGCATGATTTTGATGTGGAACCAGCATTGAGAACTGTGCTGTGGATGGTTCCTGGAAGCAACCTTGGATGTCACTGGTACAGGAAGAGGTGGTATCAGGTGCCACCCTTATGGGTGGTAATGCGAGGGAGACTTAACTCATTTGTGCCAAAGACTGCAGTGTTTTGAAATTTTTCCACAAAATTCATGTTACCTAGAAAAACGCAAGAAACAAGTTTGAGGAGAGAAAATCATGTTGCATTTTTATGAGTGCTTTAAAAATGGAACACTAGACACCGAAGGGTGGAAGGTCAGGATTGTTTGTGTGGAGTTGTTCCTGGGATCGGCCTTCCTCAGACACACCTGCCTGCCCTTGTCACCTTCCGCGAAGTGAGGAGCCTCAACTTCACCTTACCTTCTCCGTCTCTGGCAGCTCCTGCAGTTCTTTCTGTTCAAGGAAATCAATCATAGGAATGAAGGGAATGACTGAGGGGGACAGGGTGACATTCTCAAGGACACAGAGGCTGGAAGGGGTATTTTGAGTTCTGTGGGGAGACGTCCTGATTGAGGCTCTGCTTCGGGGGGATGCTGTGTGTACTGTGGATAATGACAAAGCTGCCCATGAGGATACAGAAAGTGGCTGGAAGGTGTATTGTTTCATTGGTATTTCTCTTGATCCACAGGAAAAGCAGAAGTTTCTGGGACAGAATTACTACAAAGAAGGACCCGAGGGAAATGATATTCGAAAGACAAATGTCGCTCAGATCCGGATGGCATTCCGATATGAGACTCTGTGCAATGAGCTCAGCTTCCTGTCTGATGCCATGAAATCGGAGGAGATCACAGCCCTGAACAACTAGGTCCAGCAAGCAACTTGCATCTTAACTTTTTGGTTTAATTTCAGACCTTCTGGGGCTACTGTGGTGAAACAAAGACACCAAACAATGGCTTTCCTCTACGAAGAGGATACTGCCGGAAGAATTTCAGACTCTGGATTTTGGTTGCACTGTTCACTTTAAAACTGAACATGCCCACTTACGTTATTATTAATTACTGAGTAAGGGTTGGTGACTTCTCCTTGGCTATCTGGGAGCTGGTACTTGTCTGTACTTGTTCCTAATTTTCCATATATTTCTCTTGTAACTTAACTGCCAGTGCCTGAATTGTTGGAGCCTGGATTTTCCGTGGTCAAATGCCATAAGGCATGAAGTGTGTACGATTTTCTGTCACTCCTTTCTGTATGCCCTGCAGGCAAATGGTAGTCCTTCATTTCAGCCTCTGGCTGGCTGGATGCCTTAAATAAAATCGACTTCAAAGCTCCCTTTCATAAAGGGGCTATTTTGAGAGAAAATAGAAGAGTCCTTTCTTGACCATTTGTTGTTTAGGAATTTAACCTGTTTTGTTTAGCTCCCACCCCCTTGCACCTTTCTAGTAGGAAGCAGTAAGTTACGAACAGTCACTCGTATTCTGTGTTGGTTTCCTTGTCCTGAAAGCGGGGGCTCAGACTAGGCAAGTGTTTTCAAATACACTGTGATCCCCCCCCCACCCCGCTTGCAGACCACTCCAGGGTTGGGGAAGAAACACAGTGGGGTTCTGGCAGTGGTCAGCAACTGCTTTCATCAGTTTTACATTGGGCCTGCTAAGTATTCTCACCTGGACTAAGGGCGTTGCAAAGTGCAGGACCAGCTGACCTGTGTTCCCTTTAGCTATAAATATCCTTTGTTTGTAGCCCAATTATTATTTACCCATGAAGAGTTAGGCTAGTGAAGTTTGCTTAAGGTCACACTGCTAGTAACAGGACCAGCATTAGATTCAGTAGGTCTCACCAAAAATAATTTTTTTTAAACAATAACCTAGCACTTTTTTGTTAAAGGCAAAATTTCTTGCTTTAAAATGAAGGTTTCTTCAGATGACATGGTCCCAGGGGACAAATAGCATTTTTAAAATGCCAGTCTGCAATTAAGGTTTATCAATATATTCTTCATCTGTGTTACTAGTGCCTCATTTATTTAAATGCTCAAATGCATATGGAGTAACTCAATGAATCTCACCTTTTTAAGGGAATGTGCGCGGATTACTCAACAAGCTGCTCAAGAATCTTTCTAAATATCTGTGGGCAAATTCAGACTATAGGAAGTCTGAGTCATTATAAAGTTAGATGAAGCCAATTTTTGCCTGGGAACATGCTTACTTCATTTTCGATTGTCTTGTCCTGTGACTGTGGCTGCCCACCCAGGTCAATTTAGTGTATGGAACAATAAATGTAACCTTTTGTACTTGGAAAATATATATATATGCTATCTTATAGCTAATAATAAAATCAATGAAAGTCATTATCTTAGGGATTACTTTTGAAATTCCTCCATTTGAATACATTTGCCCTAACATAGCAAGTACTGTAGTTTTTCATTATCTGTATCATGAATTTTTAAAGTTATTAAAGTGTCAGGACTGTGACTCAATTTAAAATGATTTCAAGTTAATATTTAAAGCAAAAGTGTGTTTTTTAAGACTGGGCAGGATGAAAAGCTGTCAGTTAACTTTATTTTTTTACTGAGACATGGACGACACTCACTAGTGAAGCTAACTAGACCCAGAAGGCAACCTCTGCTATCTCTATCTCTTCTCTAACTTCTAGCCTGTTACTAGTTCATCAGTGGAGCCGCTCATCCTCATTTTTCCTGGGGTATTGCTGTAGCCTGTTCAGTCAACACATGTTGGCTTTACCTGCCCTGCAAGCTTTTCAGACATCCTTTTCTAGAGTACTCTGTGTATTGTTGCACTTAACTGTCTTTTTGGGGTGAACCCCTACTTTCCTTTGTGTTCACCTGTGGAATCAAAGGCAGTGGTATACTGTGCCCAGGTTTCTAAAGGAATGGATTTGAGGTAGTTATCCTATATTTATTCTACAGGGCTTCAGTTTGCTTTATGTGTTACTTCAAATTGTATTGTCAAAATGACCACTGTAATTACTCTTTGCTTGATGAACATACATCTCAGCTTCTGGGTTGATATTTACTGAGGTCTGTTCCCGGCCTTTACTATCTCCTGAATTAAAGCAGAGTTGAAAGTACATGTCACTGGCTTCCTCTTTTACTGTACAGGTGAAACAGTATCGTCTCTTCCTAGGTTGGTAAACACAAGTAGGATTGATTATTGATTATCCCTCAACTGTGACTATTATAAAGAGTAGCTCCTTCATAAATGGAACACAGATTAGATAAAGTTTCTTGGAAGTTTTTACCCTCAGTCTCTAAGGAGTATTTTATTCGAGGATAATAAGACTATAAACAATCTTACAAGATTATCAAAATATATCTCTGAGGTGTCTGTCAATAGCATTTCTCCACAGTACTGTACGATCATGATATGCATCAGTAAATTTAATTATAAGTTGCCTCTTCCTTTACAAGTCTTTCCTCTTCTCAGTACTGATTCTCAGATGCATCTCAAATACATTCTTATATTCTGAATATGGTTTTACAAGGTAAACATCAAACCACCATAGGATAGTTTATCAATTAGTTTTGCTATCAAGACAAAAAGACATGAAAACAAATGAATCTGTCAACTGTTTATATTACCGTTATGTTGTCCATTATAAATGTGGGGGATCAGCTGATCTCCCCAGTATCCAAGTAATTATCGTATTTCTGGTAGACAATGAGGTTCAGTTAAGAAAATAAAGACACAAGCTGGGCATGGTGGTGCGTGCCAGTAATTCCAGCACTCGGGAGGCTGAGAAGGGAGGATCTTCGAGTTCAAAGCTAGCCTGGGTTACATAGTGAATTCAAGGCCAGCCTAAATAACATAGAGAGACCCTGTCTCAAAAAAATAAAATAATTTGAAAAAAGAGACAACAGTTAAAAATACAACTTCTCCAGATTGCCTTTTAATGAATCAAGTTCATAATGTTAAAATCACCAAACCAAAAGATATTTCCAAGGAGTCATTATCTAGATATATATTAGATATTATGGAAATCAACCAATTTGAATAATACAACTTCTCCAGATTGCCTTTTAATGAATCAAGTTCATAATGTTAAAATCACCAAACCAAAAGATATTTCCAAGGAGTCATTATCTAGATATATATTAGATATTATGGAAATCAAGTCCAATTTGAAATTAATCTCAAGACAGCACACACATCACACCCCCCCAGAGCACAATATAAAATAATCCTCTAAGGAATATAAATATTTAGTATACAAGAAAGTGAAATTATATGATAAGAAAAAAATATTTGAAGTTAGCAAAAACTTCTTGCTAAAGATTATTGCACAATTTATCCGTTTCTCCTAGAGATAAAACACATACTACTGTCAACCTCTAAATGCATTACATAGTCAAACTCATTTTCTCAAACTAAAGTTCTACAGCATTATGAGTAAATGCTTTGTTACTGAGTTAGGATTGAGAACACTAAAAATCATAAGACAAATTCCTTAGACTACACGAGACCATTTCACAAAACCTAGAAGGCACACATATTTCCTATCATAATAAATGCGTTTAAGTACTTCATATTTAAAAAAGACAAACCTGTACAGAGTAGGAAAAAAATGTACATTTCATCTATTAAACAAATTTACAACATCTGTGGTTAGATATTACAGTAGAACCTACCTAACATTCACATCTCAAGAATTATCACCCAGTTTTAATGAAGCGAGCAGAGACCCATGTTCATTTACTTGATAAGGCTAGTTAGTATAAGACATTGTGTTTTTCACAGTAGATCAGTTAGTGTTTTGGAGCTCATACTGTAGGATAAAAAGGTGCAGCAACATCAAGTCACTGGCCTCACTGGGCTCACCCCATAGTTCCTTCCAGAGTAAAGGATTCTGGAGACAAAATCATTAGCTATACCTGGAAATACCCAAAAACTTGTAAAGTCACATTGTTCGTTTTCAGAAACTCTTTAAAATTAGGCAATCTGAATTAAATACAAGTCAAATCCAAAACAATTTAAATTTCTAGAACTGGAGAACATCTCAGAGGATTATTTATCACAAAGTTCTTTCTATAGAAGAATCAACGGAGGAGATTCAGGGAATTGCAAATTGACTTGAATTGAAACTTTTGACCTCATCTCAATTTTTAAAAATAACTGTTGAAATTATTACTCAACAAATTCTAATATATTCTGTATCAGCTGTAATTATGTATTTTCATTGGTTGACTTAATATTTACTCACTGGAATTTATAAAGGGAATTATGATTCATGTAGTAGAGTAGGGTGTGTGTATGCACATGTGTATAAGGGTTCTAAGATTTTTACTTTGGGGAAAAGAAAATATTATGAAATATTATGAAAACCACAGATAAAACCTGTTTCTAAAGGAGGAAGCTACAAACAAGAGTAAGATATTTTCTCAAAATTATATAGCCATTAGGTGTACTACAAGGTGTAACAGAGTCCCCAGAACTCTGCATGTATAAACCAACAAAAGCGAGTATAACTATTTGGTACTCAGCATGAATATCAACAGATTAGTTTTCAGTCTTTTGGGTGCAAAATCAAGTTGTAATAGACATTTTCCCTTGAGATAGATTTTATTTGCATACCTACTAAAATCTTAATAAAAACTTAATAACCCAAAATTTATGTCATCAATAAGCAGCAACTTGGTGTACCTTGGCACTTAGAAAAATAGTAATATTTGCAAGTTACCAATAATAGGTCAGAAAATTTACATGGAATGTTAAAATATTGTTTTAAAGAGACTTCAGGCCCTAATATTTTTTGTGTTGAAATGTTAATGTTAAAATTTTTACTTCATAAGATCTAAAAATTGGTTGAGGTGCTACTGAAGATCATAATTCCACTTTTATCATCATCATCATCATTTTTTCTCCTGTACTAGGGATTGAACTCAGGACCTTGCACTTATGAGGCAGATGCAGTGCCACTGAGCTAAATCTCTGGCCCTCATAATTCTTTTACTATATCCCTTTACAGACTTTCTAAGGAAATAGAGTGAAAGAGTATGACAGCCAAATTACCTTCTAGCTTGCAGAGGTGTCTTACATATAGCGAAAAGCCTCATCCTATGTCCTTCTCTCTCTCTCTTTTTTGGTACCAGAGATCGAACTCAGGACCTTGTGCTTGTGAGGCAGGCACAGTATCACCGAGCTAAATCTCCCGCCCCTGTTCTTCTCTTAATCTAATAAATTTGAGGACTTTGAAACCTCAGAAAGATGTCTTGGAGTTAAAAGCACCATAAACAAATTTGAATTACTCATCGTAATCTGTAAATAGGTATGAATTTGTGATGAAGAAAAATTTCCTTCTGAAACTCCAGGATGCATGAACATTATCAAAATCTGCTTAAACAGTTTTTCAGCTTTGGGAAGGCATTTCTAGAACAGTCAACAAGATTCTTCAGCAGAAATTCATTTACAAGGCAAAGATCCAACTTTATAGTCCTTACCCAAATTATGTATCCTAAGAATGACCTCTAAAGTAAAAAATGTGTAGTTGAAAAATACGCTGTTGAAGTTATGTGTAAGTTATGGAACTGGCTCACTCCAAGGAAAAATTATCAAAGGAGCAATAATTAACCACAAGGGGGCATAATACACACTCCTTAGATTCCAGCAGAAAGATTAGTTTTAAGTAGTAACATGCACTTTCACATAGTCTATGTTTTTAGTCATTAAATTTTTCTCAGATGGTTGCAAATTTTCAAAATTCAAGTCTTTGAACCTAACTAAAAAGACTCCAGAATATACCTGCTCTGAAAAATTGTAGTTTGTCCAAAGCCTCTAGAAATATTGCTATAATTTGCTAGCAAAGGTTTCAAGAGCAATTAGTTCTAATATACATTAGAACAGATAAAATACAGTTTAAAACAGTAGCAAATTTTAGTTTACCATGAATGGAAGACATGGAAAGTTTATTTAAAAAATGGGACACATTATCAGAATAACAAAAATTAGAGGATGGGAAAAAGTAGTTCTTCTGTATCTGTGCCAGAAGATACCTCCATTCTTCCTCCCTGACCACAAGGTATTTGTAGCCCACAACAACAAAAGAAGCTCTTCCCCCAGGTCATGGCCTGTGAGGCTGGCCTGCCTCATCAGCCATGTTAAGAATATAATTAGCCATGTCATCTTCTGTGGGTGCATCTGACACTACCCAAGACTCATTTGCTCCAGTCATCTGCAGGCGACAAATAGGGCAATTTCTGTGTCGATCACTCCTATTAGGGAAATCAAAACAAGAACAGCTTATTTTCCTTTTTTCTTAGAAATGGGTTTGACTGAAAAGTAATATACGTATGTGGACTTAAAAAAATTAATCAGCATAGAAGTACACAGTGAAAAATAATTCCTATACTAAATTCTCTTCCTCCAGTATATGTGCATATATCTTGTAGACCATTATGTATCAGCATGGGTTAAAACTGTTTATGCTTTTTAAAACATAAACTATATGGTTATATCATAATTTATTTAACTAGTGTCCCATAAAAGGATGTTTAGTTTGTTTCCTTGTCTTTTGCTGCTACAAGCAATGCCATTAATTTATATCCCTGTGCCCAAATAGATAAAGTTTTCCCTTATAATAAAAATTCCTTGTCCTGAGAAGAAACTCCCTCTCACAAATGGAAGATCTGGTCACAATGTAAAGTGTAAATATTTATTTGTATTTAAATGAAGACATTATGCTAGAAATAATTTCTTGACAGTGACAAGGGAATAAGGAGGCAGAAAAAGTGGTTCCAGTTGTTTTTCCCAGCGGTGTTTATGTACACACATCTTAACAATGTAACTATGCTTACAGGTCTGACACAAAGTTCTGTGGTTCATAAGTAACATGAACACTTAAAGCAACTATAAAAATGGAGGACTCAAGGTTTAAAATAAGATGAAATTTATAGGCAGATGGTTTTTCTGATAGGGAAAGGATACATACATATAATCATTTAAATTTAGGTCATGTTTTCCAAAGGCATTTTTTTCCTTGTCAAATCTTATGGAAACTTAAAAATAGTGTTTGAGCCAGAAATATATTATGCAAGGAAAAATGTTTTTCTCTTCATCTCTCAGTGAAACCTGGGACCAAAGTAATCAAATTATATCAACGGCTCTTTGGCTTTTGTGCAAAACTTTAGACATGTATTCCAAAAACTAAATGTGAAAGCCAGAGCTGGCATATACTATTCAGGTTTATTTCTGGTTCCCCAGAGATATTTTACAAGATAATTATGTGTGTTTGTCTGTGAACAAAATCACAATTTAAAAATAGTCAACTTCTACTTCTGGCCAAGAGAGACCAGATTTATTTCCCACTTAAAACAACTAAAATACAGGGCAAAATGTAGAAAATAATGATTTGGAAGTGGTGGTGCATGCCTGTAATCCTAGCACTCTGGGAGGCTGAAGCAAAAGGATCACAAGTTCAAGCCCAGCCTAGGCAACTTAGCAGCACCTTGTCTCAAAAAAGCAGGTGGTGGCGATGGTGGTCTGGGGATACAGCTCAGTGCAGAAGCCCTAGGTCCGATCCCTACTTACGTGTGTGTGTGTGTGTGTGTGTGTGTGTGTGTGTGTGTGTGTGTGTGTGTGTGTGTGTGTGCGCGCGCGCGCGCGCGCGCACGCACGTGTGTTTACACACATGATTCACATAAAGCTAAAAAGGTATCAGGCAACAAGGACAATGATTCCTGAGAGGTGTGAAGCCCTGTGAGAGTTTCCATGCCCTAAGGGGGGAACCTTCCAGAGACCAAGCACACTCCCAGCATTGAAGAGACCATTGACACTCTGGGGAGGTCAAGCAGTTACTCTGTACAGGGCAGATTACTGGGAAGGAGAGAGCTAAACAGAATAGTTGTAGAGATCTGCAGAAGGTCCCCCTTCACTGTCTTCAGCAGAGTACAGATCAGTGTGTGCAGGTGAAGCCAAGGATTAAAGGCAACAGCACCTAAAGCTCACAAAGGGAATGGGATACTTCCTGTTTTCACCAACCACACCAGAACACCTCATAATTCTTTCAGATTAAATACAGTATTCCAAAGGGTCCTACCTCATTAGTGGGGCATAATTAGCATTAAACACTGATCTGGTCCCATGTAATAACTCATAAAAGGTTCAGACTGTTTCTAAGTAATCTAATTATAATCCAGAACAAAGCTCAGGAATATTTTTAGTAATGTAAAAGTATCTAGTACCTAAAATGTAAAACTCATAATATCTGACATCCAATGAAAAACTACAAAGGATACAAAGAAATAGGAGAAAAATATAGCCCATATTAAAGACAAACATCAATCAAAACAACCCAGAACTGTGACACATGGTAGAATTAGCAGATAAGAACATTGAAATTATAACTATATTCCATATATTCAAAACAGTACAGGGAAGATCAATTATATTAGATGGGACATAGAAAATATTAAAAATTCAAGCATGTGGAAATGAAAACAAAAATATCTAAGGTAAACAAAATTATACTTAGTGCAATTCATGGTAAGTTAGACATTGCAGGAAAAAAAGATTAGTGAATTTGAAAAGACATAATGACTATACAGTATGAAATACAAATTCAAGTGGTCTAATGTAAAGTAACAGGAATCTTGTAAGTAGAGGGAAGAGAAAAATAGTAAAAATTTTTTTGAGAAAATAAAGGTTGAAAAAATTTCAATTATTGACACTTTACAAATCTGAGTTCAATATATTCCAAGCACAAGAAACACAAGAAAATGAATACAAAAACAAAAAAAAGACAACTCTAAGGCATACCATACTCAAACTGCTTAAAACCAGTGAAAAGATAAAACCTTAAAATAGCCAGAGGGAAAAAAAAGGACACATTATCTCTGGCGGAATAAAAATAAGGATGACAGATACAGGAAAACAATGTAAGCCAGAAGAGGTGGAGCACCATCATTCAAGTACTAGAAGTAAAAATACTGTCTAGAATTATGTAGCAGAAAAAAAAAATCTTTAAAAAAAAATTCAGAAATTCAAGAAAAACCTATGGAGTTTCTAAAAATCTATCAGAACTAACAAACAAGTTGAGTAACTTGAGTGTGGGATGCAAGACTGATGCACAAAAATCTATTACCTTTTAAACACTGGTATTAAATGATTAAAATCTGAAGTAAACCCCATTTGAAAATAGCAAAAAAAAAAAAAAAAAAAAAAAAA